AGACGTCATTTACATGAACATGGATATGAGATGACGTTGAAAGAACATGTGTTTATAAAAAGTGGTAAACGATTTAGAGTACTTAGTGCTCTACTATGGGAGAGCTGAAAGCCGTCCCGTGGAAAGAACATGTTTACATAACTCAAATTTTGATGGCGTTGCTGCACGCAAAAGAAAATCCCAGTTCCAGCGTGCGTACCGTAGAAATGTGGCCCTGAAAGGTGCACTGGTCACATATGTATTTGTGTGCACCATTTATCAATAACCAATAGTATCTCGATTGCGGGCTTGTTGGCGATCAGCCATTCCTGATGTGGCACTCTGGTCTTTCATCGACGAAAGTGTCTCTAATAAGGCATAAATTCTTGATCGAGAGAGTACGTGATTTCTCGGAAAATCCGTTGGACGCTGTTTCTTCTTTTTTTTCATTTTCTATTTGTTGGCCAGCTTATTGTGTACCTGCTTGAGGAGCACAGACGAAGGACACCTTTCTTCACCCTTGGTGGCGAGAACTGGTTAGCCAACAAAAACGGTCGCTGCGTAGATGTCGAAGCGACTTCTGAAGCACGTGCCAATCGCATCTCTAGAATGTTTAAGACAATCAAGCACGTGTCAACGGTAGCTGCACAAATGGCAGAAGGAAGTAAGGTCTGTGCGATTTTACTGTAAGTCACCTGTAAAGCGTGCTTCACCTTGTACATTACTATTATGCAACAGAGCTTACTTTCAGTCAATCGTTCGTATCGTTACGCACATTGCACGCGAACGTTTTTACGCCGTTATTTAAGTTTTTAATTTGCAGAAAATGGCTGTACAGCAGCTGTAGAAAACATATTTCGGGCAGAATCGCAGGCATAACATTAATAGACTGGATGATAGCAGAGTGTCAGAGAGCGAGCAATGTAGCCGATGTTTTAAAGGAAACACGTCAACGGGCTAACTTTGCCTTGGACCACGACGTATTGGAGGACTCCTAAAACTTTGGCTATCTAGTGTTTTTATACGTGCACTGGCATTGCACAGTACACGGGCATTCAGCATTCCGCCTCCACCGAAATGCTACCGCCATGACCGGGGTCGAAACCACGACCATGTGGTCGGCGGCGGAGCACCGTAACCCACTGATCTACCATGGCGTACAAAGTTAAGTTGTGTGACGAAATGAAAAAATTTAAGTGAAACGAAAGTCTGCTTGTTCAAGATAGGGTGAATTGGCGATCATTAACATTTCTCCGCATCCTGCAGTGTACAGACGGGTCCACTGTTAGAGGAGGCACAAATGCGTGAGCAGCATGTTTATATCTCGCTATCTCACGGAATCATCGCTCCTTAGATATGCATAAGGCTACTGGTGGTTAAAATTTTCGACTTGTCTTGAGAGACTATCGACTTGCATGAAGATTGTTTCTTAATTTACTTGCTCTTAGAGGGCCAGGAATATTGATGGTGTGCATTCGAGTGTCCCCTTTAACAGTGAACCATGCTGTACATTGATGATGATGATGATGATGATGATGATGATGATGATGATGATGATGATTGGTAACTTCTCGGCGCATCTCGGATAAGTTTTCCCTTTGAACTATGAAAATGACAGTTCATCGGCCTTAAAGCTGAAGCACGTCTTTTTGATGTTTTGTTCTTTCTAGTTTCTTTGTTTGTTTTCTGCAGTCTCGTATGGTTACAAATCGCGGCCTTAGATGAAATGAGAAGATCAAGCTAGGTTCTTATTCGCTTTCTCCTGCTGCCACAGAACTTCGGCGATTCTGTGGATAGACGAAAACGAAGTGAACCAATCTTTCGGCCATAAAACCTATCAATCTCGACGATTCTTCCAAAGCAAAAGTACCGAGGCTGAATGTTTTGTTTTGGACATGTCATTCGAGCTTCGGGTTAAATAGAGCTTGAATTAATGGCATTCGTCCTTAAAAGGGACACCAAAGACAAATGTTAAGTCAATGTTGATTGCTGAAATAGTGATCCAGAAAATTGTAGTATTATGTCTGCTACAAGGAAGTGCTTATTTTGAAATAAAATACCGTTCTAGTGGTCCGCATCGCGTTAGCGCGATTCAAAATACCCGCCTCAAGTGGAACCTTTCACGTCACTGTTGCCGTGAACAACGTTGCCCGGCTTGTCCCAAATGGCCGGCGTGCTAGGTTTAACTGGGCCCCGCTAGATGACACGACCTGTCCAGTTGAACTTTTCAACCACTCGTGCCATTCCCCATAGTAACGTCTGGTGTTTTTTTTTTTTTTTTTTATGAATCAAACAGAAACGAGCAGCCAGCATATTATTACGTCTCTTAATGCACGAAAGGTTCTTTATTTAGTGGAGCTAGCTCGATTACTAGTGATCAATTGTATGCGGTAAGTTTCACGCCATCGGGATCATTTTGCGAATGTCCTACTCGTGGCGCATGCGTTCTCGTGCATTTACCTTAATTTCTCGGTAAGTAGGGCATCAATGTTTATAATATTGTCGTTTTAGACGTTGTCATACATTGAGCTTCCTCTCTGGCTTAAATTGTTGTTTGACTTCAGTGTCCCTTTAAAGTTTTGTGATAAACAAGATATTGCCCGTGCACCAGAAGGTTACGCAATATTCTTCTGACCACAGGCAAGCATATAAGTGAGCTTTAAACAACCTTAACAAGCCACACGGTCCGTTAAGCATTTGCATATTATTACTCAAAAGTGAAAGCCATTTTTTTTCTCCTACTCAGTTGTTTTTTTTTCTCACTTTTTTGCCTTGTCGTAACGCGGGAACCGACACTACATGGGCAAGTCAGGAAAAAACTTTGTTCATAAATCATCAGCTTTGTAATCCCGTCGTTCCACCCTTACCTTTGGGATCACGTCATGCGTATTTCCTTCGAAACTGTCTTGCACCGTTTCTATCTCTTTTATTTTTTATCTATCTTGCTATCTTCACCATATATATAGCTGGTTGTTTATCCTTATCTGTCTCTTCGATTTAAATCCACCGTTCCCCGCATCTTTCTTTTTCAACGCTTATTTTTTGCTCTTGCGCCTCTCGCTTCGATTACATCTGCGCGCTGTCGGTGTTCTTCGCCAGGTTCTCTTAGCATTTTTTTTCGGGTAGCGTTGTGGTGCCTATCAACTGTACCGAGCGCTTTAAACCTGTCGTCCTTGCCGCGAAGCAACCGCGAGGGCCTTCAAGGCGACTGCGATTCAAAGCGGCTACTTCAACGTGTGATAGCGATGTCCGCCCCCTGCAGTGGAGACATCCGGGTTCTTCGCGATGCTAAATTCAGTATCGAACAGCCTTGCTTGTCTCGGATCTTCGTCGCAAATAGACTTGCGTGGTCTCTATAGTCGGCTGGCGGGCGCGGCAGCATGTGTAACGGCAGCCCAATCCGACTATGAACCGCACCGCACTTCCCTCTGCTTAGTTAGTTAGTTAGTTAGTTAGTTAGTTAGTTAGTTAGTTAGTTAGTTAGTTAGTAACCAACTTAGTTGCTTAGTTAGTTTGTTGGTTTGTTGGTTAGTTAGTTGGTTGGTTTGTTGGTTAGTTAGTTAATTAATTAGACAATCTTTAAATTATCATTAATGGTGGGCGTTGATGTGGAAGTACAACTTATTCGTAAAAATTACGCTCTTTAGCAGCAGTATATAGTGGTGGTTATTTGTCATCGTAACAATGCAGCTAAGCAAGTAATTCCAGTCTCTGGAAGTGTGCCACCTCCTGGCTCTGCCACTGCTCGAAGGTGAAAGTCATCTTGTTCTTTTCATTCTTAGTCAATTGATCCCCCGCCCTCCTTTCCGGGAAGCCTCGTGGTCCACTTCTACGTGCCTCTGGTACGATCAAAGTTTTCATTCTGGAAACCCGATTTTTTTTCTGTTTTCACTTGTATTTACGTACCGCAGCCAAGGTCAATCTAAATAGGTCGTGAAAGTCGGAACGAAAAGAGGTCTCAAGCCAATTGCGACAGACATCAACAACCGCGTGATGATTGAAGTGCGACTAGGTGAGGGGAAGGGTGGACAGATATTGAAAAGGAAGTAAATAATTAAACGTTTATTTTCAATAGCTTTAATATCATTTGTTACAATAAAATTGTAGATTACTTTAATAAAGCTTTGGTATTTGGTATGAGGTTGAGTTCCTTTTTTTTTTTTTTTCAGAAACAGCAAGAGGGCACATGCAGGCAGTCTGGTAACATGGGCCAACAGATTTGGGGGCGTATCTAGGCAATCTGCTATCAATTGAGAGCAGGGAAGCTAGCGGCAAGATAAAATTTGAGAAACGATTGAGAGAAATTGGGGAGGAGAGTTGAGCTAGGAAGGTTTTCGGCTGAAGAATGTCGATACATGAAGAATGTTGATACAAAATGGAAAAAGTAAACCAGAAAATTGACGAGTAAATACTCGTCAATTTCTGGTTTACTTCCTCCATTTTTCCTCCAAGTTATAGCGCGAGAACAAAACGACGACACAGGGACAAGAAGGACACGAAGGGCAGATTCTTGTCTTGTCCTTCTTGTCTCTGTGTCGTCGTTTTGTTCTCGCGCGATAACTATCGTCATGCCATACCAACTAGCCCAAGATGCCACACTTCTGTGGAAGTTACGCTCCCAGTTTACATATACCTTGCCGTAACTGTGCACACAGCCTCAGAGATGCTAAGTTTCTTGTAGTCCTAAAGTTTCATACAATAACTACTATTGTATGAAACTCTATGCTTGTAGTATGCTTGTAGTAAATCTGAGGCAGCGTTGGACGAAACCGGTGTTTCGAAAAAAAAAACGCAAATCTTTGGGCTGTTGTTCTGTTCGCTTTATAAAGTTTTATGCTGTTTGTTGCAGTGGTTGCATTCGGCAAAAGCGCTACGGGAGCCGAATAGATGATAAAAAAATTTGCAGTTATGAGTTTGCCTCTTTTGGCGCTTAACACCACCTTGCTTCAAAAAAGTTAGCTATCATCATCATTAATAACTCTACTGTTCTCTACTATTTGCAGCAAAAATGGCGGCGTCCATTTACGCAAACATTCCTGTTCGAGAAGCTTGACCCTTCGTCGTCGCTGCATTTCTATTGCTAGTGTCGGTTGTATTCGTGAACACGATGGATGTGGCCTGGTCACCTATCGCTCGTACCTACGATCCTCTCAAAGCCGGCAGCATCGATGGGACTGACGTCAAACCTCACGATCACGGCATCGTCCGTGCCATGCAAGTAAGTAGTCTGTAAATTATGTAACCTCACATTAAGACAAGCTGACATTCCGGCTTCGTCGTTAATGGTAAACAAGCAGCAAGTCACTGACTTCCTTTGTAGGCTAATAGCTTGCGAAGAGGTCGCAAAGGGGCTGCATCAACAGCTCTGTCCCCAACGCTTACGTATTTTCACGCCTTCATGGCTACTTTCGGTAGCGACAGACCCAGATCCGCAATAAAATTCCGGACTGTGAGTGGTTTCTTTCTGCATGCTGCGCAAGGGAGGCGATCGCGCCAGCAAAAAATTTGTACCGGTTAGTGGGTCATGGTCGAAAGTGCGTCGTGTGACAACCTTTATGTTGAAATGCTAAGAAAGCATTTCAACAGAAAGAAGTTCAGGCGAATATGGAAGATTGACTAAATGGTAAAACCTTGGAACACAGTGTCGCTGGTTCCTGTGACACCTCGAATTGACGGATTGTTCATTGCTTCAAATTCATACACTGTCGTGGTCGTCAGCATGACGTGAAGTGACTTGGAAGGTCGACTTCCTTTTTTTTTTTTTTTCGTAGGCGTCACCTCTGCATGCGCCCTTGTTCGTTTCTTGTATGTGAAAGTTTTCTAAATGTTAAGGGGCATATAAGTATCAACATCGTCATATAGACAACTTATTTGGAAGAATCTGCACTGGACATGTAACCAATGTTGCAAATTCTAAATCAAAACCGATACAGATGTGTATAAAGTGAGTAAGGGGAGCAGTAGTCGGCTTTTGTGGGGGCCATGTAAACGGCGATGTTATAGACTAAAACTGTGCCTAAAGGAATCACCTGGTAGCATGATTGTAGAGTGTAATAATAGGGTTAATGTTTAGTGTGACTTCGAATAATGTGTCTTGGTTTGTTTCTGTTCAAACTATTGGTATACCAGGCGTGGCAAGCCACGCACATCCACTGCATGGCAGTGCACCTCAGTCCATTTATGCATGCATGTTTGATAAAGTAGGTGGAGCTCTATAATCTCCATGTGAGACACAGAAAGCAAGTGTCTGGCCCTACCAAAAGTGACACCAGCATGATAACTCTGTTCTTTTACTTGTTTACCACGCCACTTCTTAGCAGTGCTGCCATAAAAAAAAAGAAAATTGGGCAGACTCGCACTAGAAATGCGAAGCCTGGCGGAAATGTGGAGCTTGGCAGCCTTCTTAGTTTCTCTTTGGTTTCTTTTTTTCTCTTTATTTCTGTTTAATCTTTTTTCTTCTCTCTTTATCTCTTCCTTTCTCTTTATATTTTTTCTTTCTTTCTCTTTCTCGCTTGCTTTCTCTCTTCTGCTATATATATATATACAGGGTTTCGTATATGTTACACCAATCATAGTTAAGAACGGCACAAAAAAACATGGGACACAAAACGATGAGAGCACGAGGACGGCTGCCGGTTCTCATCGTTTTGTGTCCCGTGTTTGTTGTGCCGTTCTTTACTACGAACCCACACCAACTCGGCCAACTGTCCTTGTTATGCCCAGCAATGACAGAATATGACTACCTGACCCCTAGAAACGTACTCCACACTTATCGTCAAGGCACTTGAACAACAAGAGGAAGACGGTTTCTTTTTCACAGAAGCATGAGCTCAATGTGCTACGGATAGCTGTGTCATTCGTGGTTTTGCCTGCATTACGCTAAGCTACGACAGCATACATTGTCAAGGCACTCGAAGAACAAGAGGAAGAAAACTGCTCCTTGGAGCAAGCACATGCTCAATATGCACGTGGTTTTGTCTGCATTACGTCAAGCTGTAACAGCATAGGCCCTGTAAAACGTTCTACACTTAATTGCTGTCGCACCCTCTTATCGCTGTTTCTCACATGTTTCCAGCTTATTTCTTCTTCCTCATTGCAGATTGAAAATTCTTATAAACAATGTTCCATGATGCTTTTGACATTACCCCTGTATAACTGTACGCCCAACTAGTAAGTTTTTTGCTGCAATGAGAGAAGACCGAAGGCGGGTGCCATAAAGATCAGTTGTGATTTTCTGTTGAAAATCAGCTGATAGGTATTGCTTGCAAGCATCATAATAATGCAGTATGTCAAAGCATGAGTGATTATTCACAGCACCTCATATTCTTTTCAGGGATGTCTTGTGATTGAAATAAAAACCTAGACAACTCTTAATTAATGCTTGTAAATGTACCGTTGCAGTATGCTCGAAATAATTTATGCGGCAGTGTTTGTTGTTACACAGATAATGCTTCGATCACTTCATTTTATTTGTCACTTTTGTTACACTGTGAGGAATCTTGGTGCCAACGTGAATTCAGGATTAGTAAAGCATTCTTTATAGTGTGTTGTCCTTTGCTTTTGTATTTTGATCATCAACCTTCTATTGTACTTCACTTGCAGGCTACCTACAAAACAAGCAAGTACGTAAAAACGGAACCACGCCTGACGATTTTTGTAGCTCGACTCAGTCCAACTACTACTGAGGATACCATCAAAGAGGTTAGCTCCAAAAGCATTATATAAATTTTTGTAGGTATGTTAGACAAGTCTTGTTAGTACACTTGCACATTATCAAATACATTATCAAATATTGTTTGTCATTAGCTAGTAAGGGCTGTTGTACAGCCAGCTGGATATCAGTTTCTATGTGCTACAGTTGTTTTTATTGTATTGACCACTCTTTTCATTGTGAACCATGAGCTTACAAAATGTTTTGATATAGAAGTTTCAAATTATAACAGCAGTCAAACAAAAATGTTGCTGGAACTGACATCTTGCTCACATCTTGCTGGAACTGACATTTAAACAACTTGCCTTCTATATAACTGTAATTTGAACATACTTTAATAATAAAGTGATAGTGGCTCCTGATTTATTGATATGTGGGGCTTAACGTTCCCAAACCACCATATGATTATGAGAGACGCCGTAGTGGAGGGCTCCGAAATTTTTGACCCCCTGGGGTTCTTTAAGAAACGTGCGCCGAAATCTGAGCGCACGGCCCTAAAACATTTCCGCCTCCATCGGAAATGCAGCCACCGCAGCCGGGATTTGATCCCGCGACCTGCGGGTTAGCAGCCGAGTACCTTAGCCACTAGACCACCGCGGCGGGGCGATAGAGGATCCTGTACTTGGATATAGGTGTGCATTAACGAACGTCAGATAGTCAGATTTTCCAGAGCCCTCCTCAGCATAATTCCTTATAATCAGATGGTGCTTTTGGGACATAAAACCTTAACAATTATATATGCTTTATGATTCCACTCCAGGAACAAAGGGATGCTGTTCATGCTGTTTGCTGTAGCACTTAGTGTCATAAGCAACATTGTTGAAGCAGGCTTCATGCAATGCACTTTTGTGACGCATTTTAGTGTCACTTGATTTCTTCCATGTTCTTGGTTTTCATAGCGTTAATAATGGTTGTAGCTCATTAGGTACAATATTTTTTGTGGCTTCTACAATATCTGTGTGCCTATTCATTTGCACAGTTTGTGTAGCTGTATTGTTACATTTTATTAAAAAGGTTCATCTTTTTTTTTTAGAATAAGATTGATTGATTGATTTGTGGGGTTTAACGTCCCAAAACCACCATATGATTATGAGAGACGCCGTAGTGGAGGGCTCGGGAAATTTCGACCACCTGGGGTTCTTTAACGTGCACCCAAATCTGAGCACACGGGCCTACAACATTTCTGCCTCCATCGGAAATGCAGCCGCCGCAGCCGGGATCCGAACCCGCGAGCAGCACGCTTAAGGAGGCCCTCCAACATAATTCAACTCCCCATTATTTTACTTGCAGATTTCTTATACTTAAGTATGGACAGCTTATCGCAGCATGAACTTCACTGGTAGAGGCATACAGCCTAAAATATTGCAAATATTAAACAAAAACATGCCCTCCCTCAACTCGGTCTTCACAGGGCATCATCATCATCATCATCATCATCAGCCTGACTACGTCCACTGCAGGACAAAGGCCTCTCCCATGTTCCGCCAGTTAACCCGGTCCTGTGCTTGCTGCTGCCAATTTATACCCGCAAACTTCTTAATCTCGTCTGCCCACCTAACCTTCTGTCTCCCCCTAACCCGCTTCCCTTCTCTCGGAATCCAGTTAGTTACCCTTAATGACCAGCGGTTATCCTGTCTACGCGCGACATGCCCGGCCCATGTCCATTTCCTCCTCTTTATTTCAACTATGATATCCTTAACCCCCGTTTGTCCCCTAATCCACTCTGCTCTCTTCTTGTCTCTTAAGGTTTCACCTACCATTTTTCTTTCCATTGCTCGCTGCATCGTCCTCAATTTAAGCTGAACCCTCTTTGTAAGTCTCCAGGTTTCTGCTCCGTAGCTAAGTACTGGCAAGATACAGCTGTTATATACCTTCCTCTTGAGGGATAGTGGCAATCTACCTGTCATAATTTGAGAGTGCTTGCCGAATGTGCTCCACCCCATTCTTATTCTTCTAGCTGCTTCAATCTCGTGGTTCGGCTCTGCAATTATTACCTACCCTAAGTAGACATAGTCTTTTACAACTTGAAGTGCACTATTACCTATCTCGAAGCGCTGCTCTTTTCCGGGGTTGTTGTACATTACTTTCATTCTCTGCAGATCAATTTTAAGACCCACCTTTCTGCTCTCCTTGTCTAACTCCGTAATCATGAGCTGCAATTCGTTCCCTGACTTACTCAGCAATGCAATGTCATCGGCAAAGTGCAGGTTACTAAGGTACTCTCCATTAACTCTTATCCCTAACTGTTCCCATTCTAGGCTTCTGAAAACCTCCTGTAGGCACGCGGTAAATAGCACGGGGCGATAACACCGTATTTCTTTTGCTAGTGAAAGTGAAACATGCCATGAACAGAATGAGTTGAAAGCATTTACGTAGGTAAAGCAAGCTTGCACTCCATTGTTTTGTCCTGTTCAATGTATTGTTCATGCCGTTGCTATAGTAGCAAGCAATGTGGTGCCTGACCATGTAATTTTGCTTACAGAGTTAGGAGTCTTAAAAATGAGCTACCTTGATTTGTCAGAACTTGAGCAGGTGGTACTGCTTCGAAGCGAGGCTCTGTCCACTCTTTCTTACGAAGGCACTCTGTGTCACTGCATTCCAAGGGAATATGTGGGACGGCAAGGATGGTGAGGCGTGGCTGCCCTTAGAATCCTGGGGCTGCACAAAGTTGTTTTATGGGTTGTTCAGTCAGCTGCCCAAAGAACCGCAAGAATGCGGCAAGATCAGCTCAATAAAACAGATTACCTACACCACTTCAACAGCAATTAAGAGCGTCCCACACGTGCCCAACGAGGCAGCTTGCAAGCTTACAGAATTAAGAGGAGAGAAAAAAGAGTAGATTATTAGTCATACTGTTCTAATTTCTAATTCAGCATTTGATTAGATATCAAGGGTTCTGCTTAAATGACTTTGTCTTCTTGTTTTTTTTTTTCCTTGGTGCCTGCAACACTTGTATTTGCTCTATCTTCATAGAAAATGGCTGTAACAGTTCTGTCATGAAGATGCACTGGTTAAAGCCTCTTTCCTTTTCCATGTCCTGATTTTTTCAGTTCTTTGGTCAGTATGGGAACGTGAAGAGCTGTCACTTGATCAGGGACGTCGTGACCGGATTCTCCAAGCGCTATGCCTTCGTAGAGTTCTATGATGCAAGGGATGCCTCGGCGGCAAGCAATGCAAACCAAATGCTCATAGATGATTGCAAAGTCTTTGTGGATTTCGAAGAAGAGAGATTGTTGCCCGGTTGGATACCCCGTCGACTAGGTTTGTCTGAAGTGTTTCCTTTGTCTACTGCTCGCGTTCACTCATAAAACTTCTTTTTATTTTTGTAATCAAGCCAGGTAAGTTCAATAATTAGCCAGGATCTCACAGGCCCTGATGACTACCTTGGTCAACTGAACAATCTGCTGCATTAGTCACCAGAGCATACCAATAAAGCTTCCATGTAGAGCAGTTGGGTTTTTTTTTTTTTTTTTTTTTTTTTTTTTTTTTTTTTTTTTTTTTTTTAGAAAAGGCCTTAGCTCAACACTACCTACAGTCAAACCCTGTTACAAGAAACACTGATGTAACAGACGAATGGGTATAAGACACACATCGGGGTTGATAAAAAAAAAATGCGCACTTGGTACTCTGATTATAAGAGATATGAGGGATAAAATTGCTCCGCAGTGCATGCCTCCTATAAAGGATTCAATTGTAGTATTGATTACTTATTTATGAGGGATTTGTGAACTCTGCTTCCAGTACGCCACTAAAGTAAATTTTGCTCTGATTTATAGTTTGGTACTCTAGTAAAGATTGCAGATCTTGGTAGTTTAGTGCACGAAAATTCTCAATACTTTATTGATAAGTTATTATGTTGTATCCTATTCAGACTTTACCTGGTTAGCTTCAGAAAGCTCTTTTTAACTAACACACCTAAAATGTGCAAGTATACGTAGTGTAGCGTCATTGTCACTGTCATTCATCATCACCATTATATTCCAGTCACGGCACCGCGCCTCTCACGCTGCTCATGCAAGAGTTTGAGGCGCGAGCCAGGGTAGTACGGGGGCACGCTCTCGACGATCTAGCAGCCACTGCTGCCTCGCTTAGGCCTCGTAGTAAAGTGACGAGATCGGCACGGCCACTTCAGCTGCCAACACGTTTCTATCATGTCGTTCGCTACAATTGAAATTCATGGCGTCATACCTAGATACCAGTGCAGCAGCCAATACATGAAAATTTAAATTTACACCTTGTTCACTGTAAATAGTCACTCTCGTCAGCTGCATAAAAGATGTTGTTCAAAAGTAATTCTCTAGAATAAACTCATAATTTTAGTGGTACACGAATGCAGATGTGTCATCTACCTTAATTTTTTTTTTTTTTGGAAACATATTTTGAGAAACATGAACAGCTAGCTCACTTGTCAATAAACACGTTTAACTTTGCTCTTTTGTGTGCCTCTAAATGCATTTTAATGACAATTACTGATGTTATCGTTAGGTTTCTTTTTTGTGTAAGTCGCTCAGTGGCAGAACTGTGCAGTAGAAATGTAACCCTGGCTGTACCTGGATTTATCAAGTAATGGCATTATTATTGCACTGCCAAGCATATTGTGGGATGCGTATCTGTAATTTATAGTTGCTTCTTGAACATTCCTTAATATGCTTGTAAACTGAGCTAACACCTTGTAATATCTTTGTTTCACCAGCGAAAAAAAGTTCTACAAGCAGCTTCTGCAAAGAGTCCGCCTTCATAGGAATTGAGGTTATCTCTACTCTTTATGAGCTCACCGAAAAATCATTTAATGTTCATCTTGATCTTTATACTTGGAGAAAATGCCTAAAATTCTAGCATCATAGTTAATACATTGTGACACTGAATGCAACTTTGTAGGTTTGGCTTTGAGTTATGTCAACTGCAACTGAAAGGAAAAAAGCTAGGAACACCATTACATTGTGGCGCCCACTAAGAAACACTAGGTGGTTACAAATGGTCGTGTACTCTCCATCAGTTTCTAGATAGTCTAAATATTTCTTTTACGGATTAAACCTCGTGAACTACCCTAGTGATTCGTAAGTGTAAAATGACAAGGGCTATGCATTATCTGAGTCGTGATGAGGTTTGTGTTGCGTGTTCTTTTTTTTTTCTTATTTTCCTGCTTCCTAGGTGGTGGCCTTGGAGGAAAGAAAGAGTCTGGACAGCTGAGGTTTGGGGGCGTTGACCGTCCTTTCAAGAAGCCTATCGTTCTTGGCTCCAGAAGTGGAGCTAACCTGTCGGAGCCCTTTAACGACCGAGGGCACCAGTTCTCTCATCGCCGCGAAAACCGCTACTCAGGGTCTGACTACAAATCGAGGGACTACGACAGGAGGGACGATTCCAGCCGCGAGAAAAGGTCGAGCTACGAACGGTCGCGTCACCACCGCTACGAAGGGGACTACCGAAGTGACCGTGCTGAGAGGTCGCATGGCCGACCATACGAGAGTGGCAGCGACCGTCGGAGGAAGCACGACGACCACTCTAGTCGAGAAAGTCGGGACGAATTCGAGAGCCGGGAACGCCGAAGTCGCAGGTATGAATGCATTTTTTAGCATGACAATAGTTTAAGGGCTTAAATAAAATAGCTGTTTTTCACAGTGATGGCCTACACTGTCACCACCAAATTGTAACCATCTTTCCATAGCATTTCCGCTTTGAATGTTGACAGGTGCCTCGATGATTGATTGGCAGGGTTTTATGGCTACATCCAAAGAGTGTTGCAGGGACCCTGTAGAAGGAGTTCGGAAACGATTGAGGTGTGGCTGCAGCATGGGCCAGCATTTGATGAGGGGGGTCAGTATGACATGACAGTCGAACAGTTGGTATCAAAGCCCATGACCAGCCATGGCATTAGGACATTCGTGTAAACACTGTCATATGCTGCCATCAGTTATGAGCCAACATTGAGAAGCTGGCAACGCAGCTTGATCAGGAATGCACAGATACTGGCATTGTTAAAGGCAGCACAATGTATAGAAATTGTTGTCTGAAATGGACAATACAAAATTTGTAACATCCAATGCAGCAAAGTAATTGCACATGGTTATGGTAACACATTTCTAAAACGTGTCAATTTGATTTTTGGGCAGCTACAGACAGACCAGTAGGGCATTGTTGAGGGATTAAGAACTGCTTTATACAACTTTGTTGTCTTCAATGCGTGGGTTGCTTAGATCCTCAATAGATTGAAAAAGATTTTTCTGCTCTGGCTAGTACCCGTGCTCACAAGTTCAAGTTAAGACTGACCAACTCTGAGCACAATTCGGACCATGGTAATCACCAGTGCATCATAATAACCATCAGTTCTGTGTATGCAGTGTTCATGTCTGTTGTGGTAGCATGGCACTCAATGGAATGTGCTCTGGTTCGCACAAGTACACTACCATTCATATAGGCTGTATGTACAACCACGGCCACTGGATAAAAAGCAAGGTGCGGCCTGCTGTGTGCCGTTGAAGCGGCGGAACGGGCCTACTTCACTTCGCGCCCGCTCTGGCGCCTCCGCTTCTCCCAGGAGAAATGATTTCACACGCATTTCTACGCGCCACAGTAGGCCGTAAATGACGCGTAAACCTACACATCACAAGTTCGATTCTGAATCGTTATTAGGACTACCTATTACACCACATAAGTGAACAGTTTGCCCTGGGAGGACCAATCTTTCGTAGAGTATAGGCCTCAATGAATGCTGCCGTTTGAATTACCTGAACTGCAAAAAAGTGTAAATAAGTGTTCTATTGCGAAAATAATTCAGAATAGCTTTACTTCTTTCTTCAAGATGAAGCAGTCGGTTATGCAAGCACTGAGGAAAGTGGCCGAAGGGCCCGGACGCTTTTTGTATTCTGAAATTAGCTTTTCTTCTGTGTCTGTTACAGGCAATATGGCAACTCCGGCAGGTTGCATAGGTTAGTAAATATGACTGAGTTGACAAATCAGTTACGTGTAAATTGCCTTATTTATTGCGTCCTCAGCTGGATCCATTCGCCAGCGCTTCCTGGGCCGGGTGTTGTTCTTTTGCTGGTACTGCGGATAACCGCAAAACACTGTAGAGACCACCATTGAATGCAAAAGCCTAGTCTTTCATTCTCAGTAAAATGTAAAAAAGCACACGACCGATCACTCCCTCAGCTTCCACTTGCTTTCTCTCCCTCATGGCCCTTGCCGAGAAATATTCTTCAGGCAAGTATCCTGACTGCAAGGTAACGTCTCTTCCCGTGGTCAACTTGCACAGCGGCACATGAGCTTCGCGGCATCACACCACTAGAAAACATCGTCTCCTATAGAAACGTGGGCTCAATAAAAACCGAACTTTAGCACAGGAAACATGTGTCTAGCTGCCCACACACACGGTAACACAAAGCAGTAGCTTGCACAAACAAACCACGCGACAAAGCACACGAACACTCATAAATCTTGCGGCGACCCCACCGCTGCACGAACCGGCGTCCAGTTTGCATACGAGAGCAATGGCCTTGTCATGAATGCTTCTTCAGCCAGGCTGCCCAACGGTGTAGCTTTCAGGGGAATTGGAGGTACTGCAAGCTAGCGTCTCTTCTCTCGTTCAACTTGCACAGCGGCACACGAGCTTCGCGGCATCACACCACTAGAAAACACTGTCTGCTATAGAAACGCGCGCCCAATAAAAACCACACTTTAGCACAGGAAACGTGTCTAGCTGCCCACATACACGGTAACACAAAGCAGTGGCCGTGCACAAACAAACCACGCGACAAAGCACACGAACACTCATAAATCTTGCGGCGACCCCACTGCTGCACGAACCGGCGTCTAGTTTGCATACGAGAGCAATGGCCTTGTCATGAATGCTTCTTCAGCCAGGCTGCCCAATGCTGTAACTTTCAGGGGAATTGGAGGTACTGCAAGCTAGCGTCTCTTCTCGCGTTCAACTTGCACAGCGGCACACGAGCTTTGCGGCATCACACCACTAGAAAACACTGTCTGCTATAGAAACGCGCGCCCAATAAAAACCGCACTTTAGCACAGGAAACATGTGTCTAGCTGCCCACATACACGGTAACACAAAGCAGTAGCCGTACACAAACAAACCACGCGACAAAGCACACGAACACTCATAAATCCTGTGGCGACCCCACTGCTGCACGAACCGGCGTCTAGTTTGCATACGAGAGCAATGGCCTTGTCATGAATGCTTCTTCAGCCAGGCTGCCCAACGGTGTAGCTTTCAAGGGAATTGGAGGTACTGCAAGCTAGCGTCTCTTCTCGCGTTCAACTTGCGCAGTGGCTCAGACAGCCGCACAACTTACTCGTTCCATCACACTGCTAAAAAAAAGGCATCTGTACACGTGCACACAATAGAAACTATCCTCAAACACAGCAAACATCAGGAAAACTGCCCCCACGCACGATCTCCCACAAAAAAAGCTCGAGAAAGCACACGGACATGCACAAATCTTCACAAACCCACATTGAAACTCGAAGTGCGGTCCGCTTTGACAGGTGGAGCGTCAGCACCCTCCCCAGAAAAGCGGCCGAAACTGTCAGCTCTGCCCTCACGCGCTCGCCCATTGACAGCGATGCGACGCAGCAGGCCGCACTTTGTTCATTATTCAGCAGTCGTGGTACTACATAGTCAATGAAGCAAGCACTAAGCGCTGTAAATATTCATGCAGGAGATTTTGTGTAGAACCCAATTTTATTTGTCTTGTGTATATTTCTTGTGTTTTCACTTTGTGTTCTTTCTTCCTTTTCGCAGGTCACCCGTTTAACAAGAACACTCTGGGAACTCTGTTTCTTTCATTTTGTAAAAATCGATTGCATGATCCATCCAATCTTTTACCTAATTTATCCTTTCCGTTCTGCAGTATAAATAAAACATTGCATTCTTGTGTGCTTTTCTTACAGCTTGTCAATCTTAATTTTTTATTGCACCCTTCCAACATACAGATACAACGTGATGGCCACAATTTCTTTTCTCTTGAGGTCTTAGTCTAACGTCGTCCAGTGTCAGGCATAACCGGCAGTATCTCCCGAACAGTATAATAGATAGCGCTGTCTCATAGAAGTACATACAAACTGCAGTTGAGTGAGGATATTCTAGATGGCGCTGTACCACTACTCTCCAATTGGCTGCTGCGCGGGCTATGCCTTGGTGTGCAGGGGACGAGTGTCTCTCTGTCTCCTGGATTATTGCCGTGCGTGTCGGATCGTTGGTGGGGCATTGACGAAGCGAAGCGGCAAGCATGGAGGGCTGCAGCGGCCCATGCTTGTCACGAGACAGACAGACGGAAGAACGAACGGATGCTCAGCTCCATCATCATTCACTCTGTAGATATTCTGTGAATTTTTTGGGTTCGCAGCCTTTCGGTGCTGGACGTTAGTCATGAAGAGGTACTATTTTAAACAGATGCTACAATGACATATTTGTGGAGATCTTACAATGGAGTCGTCAGCTACTTACAAGGACGGAAAAAAAAACTGGGGCGAAAGAGGTACATAGTTCTTGTGTCAATACTGCTGTAAATTTTGTTAAAATGACTGTCGCAGCAATCGCAAGCCTTCGGCAAGTTTTGTTTGTCTATTCATTTATTTATTTCCTGAAGTGCAATAAGTCTTCCAAAGGGGACGGCAGCCATCGCGATCTTGCCATGAAAATGAATAAATAGAGTAATTCTGGAAGAGAACAAGAAGCACAATATTTCAGCTTCATCTGACACGAGGCTAATGTGCATGTTTGTGTCAAGGGGTTTTCCTTCAGTGTGTCGCAGTATCTATGAAAGCTCATGATATTGGCACTTATCTAATGTTGAAGGGAGGGACAACTAATTTTTCTTTTCGGCGCTTTTTTCCGGCGCGACAGAAGGCTTACCCTTGGTAGTGTTTGTAGCGGCAGCAGTTCCCAAAAGCCCCGCCGCGGTGGTCTAGTGGCTAAGGTACTCGGCTGCTGACCCGCAGGGCGCGGGTTCGAATCCCGGCTGCGGCGGCTGCATTTCCGATGGAGGCGGAAATGTTGTAGGCCCGTGTGCTCAGATTTGGGTGCACGTTAAAGAACCCCAGGTGGTCTAAATTTCCGGAGCCCTCCACTACGGCGTCTCTCATAATCATATAGTGGTTTTGGGACGTTAAACCCCACATATCAATCAATCAATCAGCAGTTCCCAAAAACACAGTCATTTTATAAGCAGTATTTTTCGATCTGAAAGGCTCTGAACATGAATGAGCCCTTTCATCCAGCAACGCTAAGAATCGATAGCGATGCCGTTAGCCTTCCTGGCGACTTGCGCATGCTGTCGTTGTTCTGCTGTCGCAGGAGTTCCTGTGACCATAGTTACAGGAACTTATATGCTTAACCACGTTTATTCTGAGCTTTGCAACTATTTTTTTTAAACAACCAAGCCGTTACAATGAGACCATGTGGCTTTATACAGCTTCTCTGTAATCAATAATCCGACGGAATCCCGTCTGGTCAAAGAGAAACGTATTGCAAAATAGCGAAAACGTCTAACACAGCTCTCGCCTTTCAGGTCAGCTGACCAGCATTACAACAACGAAGTCACTGGGTCGACTAATTAAGCTTCTTTGCAATTAAACAAGGGGGGGGGGGGACCTTATGTGGAAGCGCTAGCATGGTGCAGTATGTAGGGTAGTGGGATCTGAAAAAATAAAACCACAGATCTATTCAAGCGGTGCATAGAGCATTTACTGCATGCTCTTTCGATCACTGTTTACGAAAAGCGGTCTTGTGTGGTTTAACATCCCAGATGCACCATATGATTATGAGAGATGTGGAGGGCTCCAGAAATTTTGACCACCTGGTGTTCTTTAACGTGCACCCAGACCTGAGCACACGGGCCTACAGCATTTCCGCCTCCATCGGAAATGCAGCCGGGATTCGATCCCGGGACCTGCAAGTCAGCAGCCGAGTACCTTAGCCACTAGACCACCGCGGCGGGGCGCTCTTTATTCTTTCATCAGCTACCGTCCTATAACAGTGACATCAGTGGTCTACAGGCTGGCAATGCAGATTATAAAGAAAAGACTGTAGGCATGGATAGAGGATGAGGGGGTGCTGGAGGAACTGCAGAATGGGTTTCGGAAAAACAGGAGGTTGGAAGACAATCTGTTTTCACTGACGCAGTTCATGGAAATAGCAGAAAAGGAACACAGGCCCCTGTGGCTAGCATATTTGAATATCAAGGGAGCGTACGATAGCGTGGTTCAAGAGGACTTGTAGGAAATACTGGACACACTAGCTGTGGAAGATGGAGTCACCAATTTTTCAAAGGATATCTATAAAAGTAACAAGGTAGTCATAAAGTGGGAAAAATAGGTATCCAAGCCCATAGAGGTAAAACGGGGGCTTAGGCAGGGGTGTCCTCTGTCACCCTTGTTATTCATGATGTACCTACAAGGATTAGAGGCCAAATTAGAGGGAAGTGGACTTGGCTTCAACCTCTCTTTCGTCAAACAAGAAAAACTCGTTGAACAGGCACTACCAGCATTGATGTACGCAGATGATATAGTGCTGATGGCCGACAAGAAGGAAGATTTGCAAAGAATAATGGACATCTGCGGTAATGAGGGAGATAGGTTAGATTTCAGATTCAGTAAGGAAAAATTAGCAGTCATTATTTTTAATGATAATGAAGGTAGTGAGCTTAGGATACAGGAGGTCACTCTAGAGATAACAGATAACTACAAATATCTGGACGTATGGATAAGCAATAAGACTGAGTACCTAAGGGAACACGAAATATACGTAACGACTAAAGGTAACAGGAATGTAGCATTGATGAAAAATAGGGCACTGTGGAATTAAAATAGGCATGATGTTGTGAGAGGAATATGGAAAGGGGTCATGGTTCCGGGTCCGACGTTCGGCAATGTGATTTTGGCATGAGATCAGAAGTTCATGCAAGATTAGAAATTAAGCAACGTGGAATAGGTAGGCTTGCTTTAGGAGCTCATGGGAATACACCAAATCAGGGAATACAAGGTGATATGGAATGGACATCATTTGAGGGCAGTGATGCTAGCATCAAGATAAAATTTGAGAAGCGATTGAGAGAAATGGGGGAGGAGCGTTGGGTTAGGAAGGTTTTCAGCTACTTGTACATGAAGAATGTGAATACAATTTGGAGGAAACGAACCAGAAAATTGACGGGTAAATACTTAGAAAACTTAGAAAACAGCAGGGGGCCAAACCAAAAAGAACGATCAGTTAAGAAGGTGAAGGTAACGGAGACTGACATGTGGAGAATCGGCATGATTAAGAAGTCCGCACAAGAGATCTATCGAACTTGTAAGCAGGAAATTGCCAAGGAAAGGATCCATGATAATACTCGGGGTAGTTCTCTACTGTTTCAAGCCAGGACAGGAGTATTGCGAACCAAGGCATATCGGACCAAATACGATGGGGTAGACGCGGTATGCAGTGCATGCGGAGAGGAGGGGGAAATTGCCGAACACTTGATAATGTTCTGTAAAGGGCTTCACCCTATACTTCAGGATGATGGCGCAGAGTTCTTCAAAGCACTGGGGTTCCGAAACAGGGAGGGCAAAATAGACTTTAAGCGGGTAGAATTAACAAGAAGGAGGTTATCTGATTGGTGGCTAAAGTCAAGGCACGAGTGAAAATTAAACCATTCACTGCAAAGTACCAGTCTTACACGTGACTATTTAAAGGGGAAAAAAAGATAAATATAGTTGCTGTTTTCACTAAGTATTACGGCTAGATGGCGTTAGCCGCCGCCCAATCTAAAGGGTACAGCCACATCAATCAATCAACCAATCAATCAATCAAAGAGCAGGAGAATGATTAAAGTGTCGAGAGAAGAGGGAATGTGACCACAATGATACTTGTGTACATCGTCTTAAGAACGGCGTAGCTATAGGGACTGTTTTGGGGGAACACACATTACCCCGAGAAAAGCTCAGTGGCAGCGCAGGCAAATTCGCCATCCTATTATTTCGCCATTCAACAAAATTAATAAGACAGCGAAATTTTTGTGACTTCTTGGCGGCAGTTTGTAGATTTGGTGTCGGGTACGGCGGAAATTGAATCGTAAATGCTCTAACGTATTGCTAGCGTCGTTAAGTGTAGCCGATTTTAGCGTGACTTCAAAACGCCCGTCTAAAAGCGTAAGAAATTAGCGTCTCTGAGCGGGGAAGAGCCTGAGACCGCGTGCGCTCAAGCTTTGGAGACGCCGACCGCGCAGCTTTCAAATCGAGGGACCTGCGCGCGGTCAAAAGTGAAAAGGTAGTGGGTGCATCGAGCGTGTCCCCCGCAGTAAAAAAGAAGACAAAAAAAAAGTGGACGCAGTCGTGGCGTAAACTTTATGAGCGAGGTACACAAAGACACGTGCGTGCGTCTTGTAAACACACACCAAAATTGAACTTGGTTAGTTGAATACCACTGCATATAATGGTCGTTTAAAAACAGTAGTAACCGTCCGGGGGTGTAGCTCAGATGGTAGAGCGCTCGCTTAGCATGCGAGAGGTACGGGGATCGATACCCCGCACCTCCACGATACTATTTTTTTTCTTACCATCTTTTTTTTTTTTCTATTTAGTTGCAGAATGTTTCATCGTCGCTGACACAATTATTGCGCCGTGCGTCGGCTACAAAACCTTTACGACACACTCTGTATCCTATCCTAATTCTACGCAAAGGCAAAAAAACTCTTCCCATTTCCGTGTGTTACATTTTAGGACCCCATTACAGCGCGAAAAACATGCACAAAAAACTAGAGTGTCTAAAAAACACGTGAAAACACATTACTACAAGGCTGGCCAAATTTAATTCTTTATCTCATTTTTTTTGTGTGTGTGGTGTGTTGCATTTCCACACATGCGCACTGGCACGCTTACACCAAAGCGTGTGAGGAAGTGGAGGCGCGGATGGCTGCCCGGGAGGAGCGTGTGTGTTCATGTTTGTCACCCAGAAGCGCCACGGTACAGTACACTTATAGAGTTTCATACAATGCTATTATTGCATAAAGCTCTATGAGCACACTCTAGCTACAGTGCTCTTGATAGGGGCAATGAACACTTGCTCGGTCGCACATGACGACGAGCATCGACAAAAATCTTTAACGAGGCATGAAATGCGAATAAGCGCGCAAGCGTGTTGGAAACTAGCGAAAAGTATATCGTTGCTATTTTAATAATATCATCATCACAATATAGTAAATGCGGCCAGTGCGAGTCTCTGAGGTCTTGCATATCTGATTCTAAAAAATGTTTTAGAGTGCGGCAACAGATGACGCTACAGCAGACAAGTGTGCCAATGCGTTGCCTCATTTGTACTACTGCTATTTGTCTAGTTGTCCTTGCGAACCAATGAGGGGCATGGTTTTTGCCGGCACGTTCCTCATTTCGACCAATCCCGGGTCGACTCTTTGGGAACCGGTGCAACAGCGCGCAAGAAGCCGCGAGGGAAAAAAAAAAACCTCAGTGCAGCGGCGGGCATTGTTCTCTTTGTGTTGTTTTTGCCCCGTGTCGTGTTCGCCGTGGTTGTGCATTTGCCGCACGCCGTCTTGTGTAGGAACTGTCGTCTTGTGTAGTGATGTGACCCTGTGAAGCGAGCGCTCGCCGAAGCCGACTACGCTATCTACCAGGCGGCAGTACCAAATAAACTTCTCTTGCACGGCTTCCACGGGCAGTCGGCGATGATCGAGTCGAGCGCCTTGAGTACAAGGTAACGTCACCGTCTTCCAGCTGCTCTTGCTTGCCGCGACGCCACCGCACACCGGTTGCACAGCGTTGTATGCAACGAAGCGTCATTGCGAACTCGTTGGCCGAGGCCGGTTGCCCCCAAAACCACGTGTCAGCGGCTCCTTTTAACGTGGCGCGTTGGAGAGTATCCCGGGTCAGCGTTTTGCGAGATAAGCTGGACGTTAGGCCTAGGACAGCCTTCGAACACGGCGTTTTGCAGCGCGCGTGTGCGGTTAATCAATGCTGCTGCCGTCTCTGCGAAGGCGGGGGACACGCTCGGCATGGACGTTGACATAGCGAGGGTCGCGGAAACCCTAGGAACTGTGTACACGCTTCGGGATGCTGCAGTAGCCGGTGTGCCGGGCATGCTGTGATTGGTACCGCGGCTTAGAAATGCGACGCGGTCTGTCTCGTTTTGTAAGCCATATGGCAGCTACCGACCGGTACTATTTACTAGGAAGCTTCCCGTGTAATGGTGTTGAGAATGCCGTAGTCTGTGGCTCGTAGCTTGCTTGCCACGATGCATGCTACCGTGCTGCGAACGTTGCCACCTGTTTCCGGTACCTGGCCCAATGTGCACGTTTGTCGCCGAATGGTCCCGTCGTCACGCGGGTGGGTGTCCGGCGTTGGAACCACCGGTTGCAACACGCCAATACGCCGACCCACATTTGGCCCCCTTGCATTTCTGGACCTGACCCATCTCCGGAAGGGAAATAAATGAGGCGCGAAAACCGCCGCGATGTCACAGCTGCATTGAAGTCAGCTGTTTTTTGCGGGCTGTGCGCGCCTTCGTTTTTTGTTTTGTTTTTTTCCTTTCGAGCACGTCAGCTGGTTTCTGGGCGCGCATACGAAATTACTTGCGGACATAAGACACGCGACAGATTACAGCAGTCGCGTAAACACTTTTGACCTCGTGACAAAGCGCAGTACAATTGTGCGAGTGGTTAGGGCAGCGTATTCCTAGACTACTATACCAGACCGTCTATTATGCGTGGTTGTTTTGTATCTGCGTGGTTGTAATTGTAATTACTGATGCGAAGAAACTGTGCCAACGGCGATTTAAAAGTGTGACCACTTGTTGCTTTGCACATGTCGAACTACCTGAAACACTGGACAATTGTAGTAACAGTTCTTGAGTAGGGTTACTGTGTAGCTGATTGTTTTTTTTTTTAACGTAATGTTACAAAAAAACGTCAGCTCTGGTATTGAGTTTTGCAAAGTTAATTGTTGCTTTGTGTTACGCACGTCATAATGGGCAACATATCCCATAGACAACGACTATCGTCCTGTTCATCACTATCATCAGTCAGGCAAATTTATTTTGGTGTAACGTAAACCTAAGTGCAGGCAACACAGTTTCTGAGGAGTACTGGCACATATTTTAAATATTTTTTTTATTACTGCTCTAAATAAAAACGCTAATTTCAAGAACCCTAAAAAGTCTAACGTGGGGCTGGAGGGAATGCATTGAATATATTTTTAATACTTCTCCTTCAAGATGCATTTTTGGTTTAAATATTGAGGGGTTGGCTTTGCATGTAAGCACAGTCGGATGTCACTGAGACATTACTACTCACGACATACCAGCAGTAGCTCTGTCAGTTGCACATGGTGCCTCTAAACAGCAATGAATGAGTTGTCTTGCACCAGCTTTTCTTGCGATTTAGGCTGTGTGTGGGGCCAATAGTTGGCAAGACGTGCAGAATGGGCCAGTTGGAGGGGTCCCATGATAAAATTTTGCAAACTTTAATGACTTGTCATGATAATTATCATTGCAACGGGGCTGACTCACAGATGCTGTGCAACAAAAATTATTTAAATCAAGAGAAAAAAAAAAGCAAAGCACTTTGTGAACTAAATGCTTCTTGAGCATTTCTATCTATGTGTAACTCCCTATCTAACCGCCTACATCTTAGCACCCTCTTTATAGGGACCTTGAAACGGTTTTTTTAAGTTTTGTCAGCATATAGGCTAGAGCATCAAACCATTCAGACTACGAATTCAGTGACAGGCTGTGTACCAAAGCCGCTACCAACAACATACTCTCCTTTTCACTCCTGCTGTGCCTCCTCAACTCGTGAGACATGCTGGCGATTGCAGAGCTCTCTTGAGCACTCTCAACGTTTTGAGTTTCGCCTAGTCTAGACCTCGGGGATGGCACGTCAACAGGCTCCGATGCAAAGACGGAGCACAAAGAAAAAAGAGGACACAAACAACAGTGCTGACTGAGTTTATTTGTTAACACCGTGCAATATATATATATATATATATATATTTGCACTGTCTCAAACGAAAGATTACAAACAATGATAAAAGCCATGGCAAACTATGATAAAAGGACCAAACCACCAGCAGCATCCCTGCTAACAGTGCACATTGCACATAAGAGATAATCCAATTTTTTGCCTGTCAAAGCTACAGAAGGCCTAACGCATGCGCTGCCGAGCCTTGCTGTATAACAGGCAAATAAATCTATCATCTGTCTGGCCGTTGCAAGGGTGCAGGAGGACAAAACAGATTTTCCTTGTATTACTAGGTTACTCTTTCACGATACCAAAATCGCACGCTCAATGGAAAGAGGCTCTTAGTAAGCAAAAAAGCCTTAAAAACGAAAGTGCGTGTGGTGATGCCAACTTCGAATTTCCCCATCAGTCGGCATGATTTCATAGATTTCGACCGTACCTACATTGTTCCTAATCGGTAAAATGAAGCGGATATCCTCTGAGGAGGCCACAGCTCCACATCCCAAGTTTCAGAAAATGTTGGGCCAATGTAGTCAAAATATGAATAATGCGCTTCGAAATCCATGGCGCTGTACGGCTGATTTTGGCACAAACATTTAAAAATAAGACTTCGACCTTGATTTTTTGGCATTAGAGTTTTCAGAGCAAAATTTACCTGTCTTTACCGACTCATTGTTTTACTTTGGCGTCTAATTGTTTTGAATGCTGCAAATATCTGTACACTATGTCACCTAGTGGACAAATCAAAGAAGTTGTTTTGATTTCTTTGTGTAGTCTCCTGGTTGGATAATTGATTATTCACTCACCTACCTCATGCTTGCAGTATGTGGTGCCTGTATTGCTTTATTGGTGCTGCAGATATGACAATTCTGATTAATATATTGCACTTTTCCTGCTCTTTTCATTCCACTACTAGACACTCTGGCTGCTAAGCTTTCTGCTTCACTTAAGAAAACTGATTACCCTTTGCTGTGGAGCAGTAGGTACAGTGCTCAGTTGCTGACCAACAGTCGAGGCTTTGATCCAGACTTTCACAGTTGTATTTTGGTATAGGTGATATGCCACATGCCCGTTTAATGCGCAATGTCAGTGCACATTGAAAACCTGAGAATCGCAGTTAATTGAGCACTTTACTACAGTGCGCCTCATAATCCTATATTGGTGTAAATCTCAGATAATTGGATTTATTGAGGGTACTCTGCCCATTTTTATAGAGGGTGCAAAATTCATGCTAAGTGCAATGCCACTTGTGCCATTATGTGTAATAATGTTAAGAGAGAAATCAATACTGTCCAAGTGTCCGGAGATCTGCAATAAATTAATTTGAAAGTTAGCACTCTATCCTGTCCATTTTTCCTTCCTGCTGTTGCGTTATACCTACGATATTCAGCATGAACCAGCTTGTCGAAATCAAGCTCTAATTAGAATATTAAAACTTGAGACAGCATAATTATTATAGACTTACTGAAGATGATGCTGAGTTCGTACCCCATTCGCAAGGGGTGGCTTGGGTGTTATAGTTTGGGGGGGGGGGGGGGGGGACAAGGCATACAGTCTAGTTATGCCTTGTGCTCATTTCTGCGATATCAAAGCAAACTCCTCTCAGCATGCACTCGTGTGAACTACGCATGTACCAAACTGTATTTATGCAGAGAGCAGTTGCTGCACTGTTTTGCAAGCTGATGTTTGTCACTGTATTTTTACTTGTCGTCAAGCATAAATTGTGTGGTGCCCAGCGTTCACATCTTTGTATTCTCTCATGCATTAATCCGGTTTCTTGTGTTACAGCCCCTGGAGCACAGACTTCATGAAAGATGCCGGTACTTCACTATTGGATTTTGAAAACCTCTTGGGTGCGGAAATCGGGTGAGCAGTAATTCCTTGTGCTTGATCTACAGACGGAGAGATGCAGGGGACATTGGCTAGTCTCGCTCGTCTGTTGTGCTCTAGAAAACGGAGGCTTTCATTCTGCTGTGGCTGTATGGTATCACTTAGTGATGGCTTCAATAACTTGCATCACTGTAATTTTTACCAAACCTAAAATGCACACAAGGGATTAAAGAAGCACGAGGACTGCAACACCTTCAGTGGTCCCTCATGTTTGTAAGGTCGCCCATAAATGTAAGGATCCATGCTGGCGTAGGGTATCCATGGCCTCGTTTGTCCCCACGAAACTGGTAGAGTTGTGGATAGAAACATGGCATGACTTATGGGAAGTGTGCCATGAGTGTGATTTCCAAGGTCTTTCTTACGTGCACTTCCGTGTCAGAATGTAGGACCACCACTGCTCCTTGGAAAATGCCTTGTCACAGTTTGACTCAACACTCAGGGCAGTATAGAGGTATCTTTTAGCAGTTTTGGGCATTGCAAATGAACAAGCCTGGTGCCTCAGTCATATGAAATGCTTCTGTTGGACTAAAGCTTTCAGCATCAAAATAATTATTTGTGTGTGCCCTTTTGTTTGAGCTGCACCCAGTGGCGTACCAACTCTTTGGTGAGTGGGGGGGGGGGGGGGGGGGCAAACCTATTGCACTCCTCAGCCGGGATATATATATACATATATATCAGGAGAGAGAACTTCAATGTGCTCGCACTTCGATATAAATTTGCATACAACGATATGACGCAACGTGCAATCTTAGATACCACGAAGTTCAATCACACCTTAACAGGCCGAGGCGTGGCGCCCTTTGCCCAATTTGCGCGTCCAATATGCGACGTTCATCTTGCTATCACGCCCCTTTCTCTGATTATGCTTTGACGGTTAACATCTGCAAATACCACGACAGTTTAATAAATTTGTAATTGATTTTAGTCGCCGGGAAGAAGATGTACCAAGCGTCAACGAGGATACATCCACGTTTAACGGGTAGCTGCCAAAAACTGAAACATACATTCGGCAAAGCCTCCTTTATCAATGTACAGTAAATATGTAATTACCCCTGTAAGGGCGCGTTTTACTTTTGTTTTGTATGTCGCTTCCTTTGACGGAGGGATCAACCATGTTTTTTCAAGGAATGATTGCTGTTATACTTTTTCATAAGTATTACGTTTTTTTGCATATATTCAGGCATGCATGTATTATAATTTGCCTTATTTGCTAATAGTTGGAATACTGTATCTGGGACGTGCAAATCTTAATAATATTGCTGCTGTTATATTACTGTAATTAAGTTATTATCAACTTCTTAACCCTTTTCTTTAAAAATGTGTAATTTGTAGTGTTAGGGCCATAGTACATTGCTCACATTCATTGTATTTGTATCCAAAGTTCTTAATGGGCCCCCAGGTGGTTCTGTATAAATACACGGTGTAAACAACAATTTTTCTTTTGAAAAACAAAGTGTGGGCCATTATAACATTGAACTCTTCTACATTGCTTCCTTTCGAAATGGTCGTTAGTTGTATATAGCATTGAGTTTGTTGTGCAACAAAGTAGTGAGGAGACCAGGTTAAAAAGCTGCAATGAGCAGCTTGAAGGGAACCTTGAGGGAATATTCGTGTAAACAGTCCTTGTCATGCGCACAGCACCGCCTTGTTACGCGAGTCAACGAATGACGCAAAAATGACTCATCGCCTCATGACCACTTATGCACGACCACTAAGAAATAAGAAAATAAACTATTTTGGATACAGCATATTGTTTGTTACTGGTTCTTCGGCATTTAAAATTTTCTGTGTGCCACAAAATTCGCCTGCTTGTTATATGACGTCACGAAGCCGGAGAGCATCTCCTTCTAAATGTAATTCAAGTAGGCTAGCTGCCAATCACATAAGCAGTGGCTACTATAGTAGCTGGGGAGGTGGATTATGAGTATAATAAAATATTTTCACTTGCAGCATAAAGGTGTTTAGTAGTTTGTGCACGTATGTATAGATCTCTCTGAGCTCATACTTGCCGAGAAAGAAAAACTGGCGAGAAATAAGCAGTGCTGCACATGTGTGCTTTTTTTGCTGTTCAAGATGTATTTTGAGTTGTAAAGGACAATTCAAATTGAGTGAAAACCAACTAGCCCGATCCCTAACTAAGCCTCCATAGTGCTAAAAACCACGGTATTTGACCTTCTCTCTGGTCCGGTGGGTCAAGTTGTGGGGCAAGCTTAAAAGCTAAGCTTTCTAATGAGCTCGAGCCAACTGCTTTATTCGTGGCCGCTTTGCAAGTTGTGCTTACAAGTTACCATAAGCAGGGCTGACCAGGTTTATCACAGACTATAGTGGAAAGAATTTTTAGCCTATCAGTACAGAAAAACTTGAACATAAAAAAGTATTTGTCACACTCATCGACTCGCAACATCTTCGACATGGCAGCGGTGATGGTATATCCTTTCAGAAGAAAATTATTTTCCGGGAGCAGTAAATGCTTTGACCCATCTTTAAAAAAAAGTTGGCTCGTTCCCATTTGTAACTGCATCAACAAGTCGCAGCAGAATAAAAACATGAACAAGTAATGTAATATTATAGGGCCCCTGTTCAACACGAGCCTGCTCTGCAGTACTACAGTACTAGATGCGAAAGCATCACACAGGTGACCCGCACTACAAAAAGCCTACAAGGAAAATCATCACAGCGAAAACGTTGGTGAAATTTCGCTCTTGTTGTAACATTGCCTCATAACATTTTAATTCTCCCGTAAGAACAAAATTGAGTGATTACTGTTGTGATGGAAAACTTTGCCTTGTTAGTTTCTCCAGTGTGCAGCCAAGAGCTACCATGGTACACGGTCGAAAAAAAAGGGCTCAGCCCCCCCCCCCCTCCCCACTTTTCTCGGGGGGGGGGGGGGGATAGCGTCCTCATTGCCCCCCCCCCCCCCCGCCTGATACGCCTATGGCTGCACCTCGAGTAGGGGCGGGTTATTTGCACACACAAATGCTCTGGACAGCATTTCATCAGTCAATGTGAAGAGTGCAGTGGCACTGAAATACACTTCAAAGGAAAATGGAAAGCACAAGACAAAGGATGTGGAGCCCACCACAGAACACGACATGCTGATGCGGCTTAGCACATGGCAGAAAGTGAATGGACAAGCTCGTCCACTCTACGGATAAACATTGTTCAGTTTGGCCAGTCTCTGCAGCACACAAGTCCCCGTGGTGTGATTGTGCATCAAATAGAAGTGTCTCTTCTTTCCTTCATTCATAGCAAGGGCCTCATTCTGGCAGACTTGATGCTTTCAGGTAGTATGCAAAGGATTTTCGGTCAACTGCCAGCTCACAGTAAAATCACGTGCTGCATGATGCCAACAGGCAGAAAAGGATTGTTCCACACTCACTGTGTCATGGCTACTGGCGGCGATGAATGATGCTCCCACATCTAAATGTACATATGTACCTCATAAAGGGGACAGGCGGATAGCCGCCATGGTTTATATACATGTATTGAATTTTCTATATAGAGAACATTTTCTCTCCTTCAAGTTCGATATAATATTCTTGTTATATTGTACTGGCGCTGCACTTCTTGCTTACGACTGAATATTGCAAACATTGTTTTGTTATAGCATGTCTTTACCCTCTGATCTCGTGCCCACTGAGAGTGTGTCCCTGCCCCTCGAGCGGCCAGTCTGTGATGACAGTTCGGGGGTACTACTGGATGCCGGCATTGGACGCTGGGAGGACTTTGAAGACTTGCTCAAGAAGGACTCCAGCAATACATGTAAGTGCTAGTGCGTAACTTGCACTTCCAAACGCAATGTTCTCATGCAGTGAAATTGCTAAGAAAAAAAGTTGCTATCTTTACCGTGGACGCCACGATTCGAAGGAAGGGGAGTTCGGGGTCAGTGAACTTTTGCAGAGAGGGTTGTTCCCTTGCCTCTGCGGTCTAGTAGTTGGTGCTGGACTGCTGACTTAAGGGTTGCTGGATTGAGTCACAGCTGTAGTGGCTGCATTTTTAGTGGTGCGAAATGCTGGAGGCCAGCGTGCTTAGATTTAGGTGCACGTCAAAGAACCGCAGGTGGTAAAAGTATTCGCAACCATCCACTATGGATGGTCTCTCGTAGTCATATTGTAGTTACAGGACATAAAAATGCCAACTATCTTCACCATTCAAGTGTTAGTAAATGCCAGATTTTTGCATGCCACAGCCATGACACAGTGGTGAATGTTGCACTGGGGCAGGACTGTGAAATAGCTCTGAATCGGTACTTGCCCAATGTCACCTGAACCTAAAGTGCCCTTGCCAAAAAATTGGACCTTCATTCTTTTGTTTTTAACTGCTGAAATTGTATGTAATATCTTTAATACAAGACAGAAGAGACGGGGGGGGGGGGGGGCTAAAATATCGGATTTAGTCATGAAGTGCGAGTGCATTCAACAAGCAACTGGCAAAGCTTGTGCACAGCTAGTCTAAACAAGGGGAGGAGCCTTAAGTGTTTGAGGCCTCGTCCCCTATTTATTCAGAAAAGCTGTTACCATGCTGTTGCATTTGCCTGCGTTTTTCGGTAACCTGTTTTCTTACGATATGCAGCAGTGGTAATGGTGTACAGCTAGACAAAGAGCACGATTACACATGAGCTGTACCTTGAGCTCTGCAAAGTTGTATGGAACTACAGTAAAACTTCGGTTATACATCCCCCGATTCTGTTACAACCCACATTTTATGACGAATCAGTTTGGTCCCGGCAATGAATAACAAGTATTTCTATAATAATTGAAATAAGTATTAAAAACATTGGTTATATAACTGAATTTAGCCACCTATTTCTAATAATAATATTATCTGAGGTTTAACATCCCAAAACCACTCTATAATTGAGAGACGCCGTAGTGGAGGGCTCCGGAAATTTCGACCACCCGGGGTTCTTTTACGTGCACCTAAATCTGTGTACACGAGCCTCAAACATTTTCGCCTCCATCGAAACTGCAGCAGTCGCAGCCGGGACTCGATCCCGCGACGTGCGGGTCAGCAGTCAAGTGTCGTAACCATTACGTTACTGCAGTGGGGCTAAGACGACTTTCTGGCTTCGTCTGAATGAAAAAAATCACCCTCTCTACTTGAATTGAACGCTGATGAAATATTTGTGAGTGCACGATTTCAAATCTGAAAGTAGAGGGGGTTGCTTGCTTAGGATTTTATAATAGTATCATAACTGCCTCTCCGGGAGATTCCTGGATTTCAACCGTTTCTTTCATTTGTACGGTTGTGTTGAAAATCTCCCGGAAATCAAAATTTCTGTGCGTGATTTGGCCGCATTGAGAAAAATGCAGCTTAATCAGCTTTAGGTTTTTTGTGAACCCTCCGCACTTTATTTTAAATGAGTTCAGAGGCGTTCTTTTAAATGTACATTGTAATCTCAGTGATGCGAAACCGCAGCAAATACGAATTCTCGAAATTGCCCAGCCAAACTTTATTGTGTCCATTAGGTCGAAATTCGAATGTTCCGAACTCTTTCCCTAATCACGACGAGTGATACGATCTTTAGTACCGAAACCGTTGAACGAAGGCTAAGAGCAACATCCTCGAAGCTTCAGAAGTACGTGTGCCACCAGCACATGCACTGTCATCTACAGTGTGGGTGGTTGCAATTGCCGAAAGTGTCACATTCAACCAGTCAAAGCAACGTAGCTTTCCGCAAACTCTGTAGACAAAAACACTGCAGATGTGATCATAGACAGCATAAAACGACCTAGTTTTAACGGCATATGCGCAGTTCGCACACGCGGATTGAAAACTGATCTACCGTTGGCTGCTACCACCGTGCACTAAACCGCGGTTGCGGCGACACGATAGCATCTAAGAGCTCAGAGGGCACTCTGCTAACGCTGCAGTAGATTGGAAGCAGTAAAGATGCAAAAAAGGCTAGAAGCGTTTTGGCATTCCTGTCCAAACAATCTGTAGCGAGCAAAGCTTTCGTGGCGGCCAGCTGTGCCGTCCCGTCCGTTCGTGTGTGTTTCAGGAAGACATACGCAAGTTTTTTTGTTGGAAATAAATTTTGGTAATTGTTTTAATCCTTTGAGACTATCACCTTAGTGGAAAACGCTATCCTCGTGTGTTTGGCCTCTCCAAGTCATTATCAGATTGCAACGGTGATGTTTGGACTTGCGATTGAGACCCCCCCCCCCTCCCCACAGTCTTGTCTTTCACCAAGTTTTTTCTATTTATTTCGGTGCCACTAAATGGGGGAAAATAATTCAACTAGGTTCTCCCTCCCCACCATCGCCCCCACCTCATTGTGGAAATCTGCTGGATTCAAAATCTTTGAACTTTGCAGGTATGTAGTATAAAAAATCCAGCATGTCCCAATAATCTATCATTACAGCACGTAAATAGATGGGAAAATGTTTTTATTACAAGTAGGCAAAGTATGATACTACATAAGACTGGGATGAAAGCAGGAGCAGTTAACATGTGAGCTGTAAAAACAACCCATCATATCCTCTTGTTTGCTTTTAGCATGGGAACAAAATTTTGAATATAGAACAGACTGCAATGGAGCAGAGAATGACCCAAAGCTTTATGACCCGTACTAATCGCAAGCTCGGTTTGTTGTGTAGGTGACCTGGATTTCGAAGATTGGAGCCTGGATCTCACAGAGTCATCGGATGTTCTCTCAGATTGGAGCAGTAGTGGGGCTGCCACAACGTTCGAGGGTGCCGAGGGCCACTGCCCACGGCCGCGTTCCCGGCGGGGACCTTCACCTACGCCATTGAATGTTGAGCGAACTTCCTCAACTGCAAACTGGTTAGCTCTATGCTTAACTTTTGGTGCGTGCTAACTTACGGTGCCGTTTTCTCGAAGTGGCATTCGTGCACTCAAGTAATGGTTATATGTAAGCAGCCCTTATTTGTCTCTGGCCTCTGGAATGCATCTTAAGTGGGCAATGTGGCATTTGCATAGCTAGAAACAATATAGTAAATAGTTTTTTTGCATGTCACTGCTTACTTTCTTATTCTGGAATGTTTTATTAGAAAACTGCATTGAAGTGGTCTAAAAAAATTTATTTGAATCAGCCAAATGGGCAGAAAAGTATCTAGATATCAAAGAATGTCAGACCCGCCACGGTTTCTTTAGGTGTGAATCCTGCCGAAAGAGTGGTATGTTTCTCTCATGATTTTTTTTTATGGCGTTTCTCGGTTTTATCTGAGTGTGTGTGATAATGTTCATACTAAAGTGGAGATGCACTGTAAAGGACATGTGGCCTTGAACAGAGCTTTGTTTTGTGCTAACAGTGGGCAGGTTTTCCTCCAGAATGAGCTACTGTTTCGTGTTTCTCTTCAAGATAGATATACACTAAAAACCTCATTAATTTCAACTCTGTTATTTCGAAATCCTCCTTCAACCAAAGGGTTTGTGTTGTTTTGTATTTTGCCAAATACTGATGGCGATTTTGCCACAAATCCATGGAAATGACGGTTTTTAGGAGCCTCAGGACAGGGCTATGTAGCGGTACTAATGAGTCACAAGTGAAGCACTTCAGCGTTGCTGCTGCAAAGAAGCGGTCTTGTGGTTACTTGAAATGTGCACCCGCAGAAACGACATGCTTCACGCAACGTCAGCTTGTCATGATTTGCCCATTCTTTCTGGGACCGTGAGCTCAGATTTGGGTGCACGTTAAAGAACCCCAGATGGTTGAAATTGCCGAAGCTCTTCACTACGACATCTCTCATAACTATATGGTGGTTTTGAAACGTTAAGCCCCGCATATCGATCAGGAATTTCCTTCTGGGAATATAAAGACATTAGCAAAGGTCAGTCTCATACAATTTGCAATAAATGTAAACTTCTGATTGGGGGTTGGTGCTCCAGCAATTTGTGCATGCGCAGTGCTGGCAAAGTTCCTGTCTTGACGCCTACTCCGAAAACTCTAGAAAATTTCAATGTTCATGTCTTCCAGCCAAAACGCATCACGAATTCCGTCAAACTGACCATTATTGAGTTCTTTACTTTACCGGGCAGAATGGGCACATGGTCGTCGCATCATAACGCACCGACAGGTGACATGTCGCTTATGTGTCAGCGCTGTTTTGTAGCGAAGCATGACTTCTTTATTCAGGTGCTCATTTCAGCTGACCACGAGTATTATTATTTTTTCTTTCCCGAGTTTGCGGCAAAATTTCGACCAGGTATTGCTGGAAAACACAACCCTAGAAACCGTAAACTAGCCCGCACAGCAAACGACCACCCCTGATTACTTTCAATAATTTTAAAGTTTCTTGCATCTGACTTTCTATAAGTTTTGTTACCTTGAAAATCCACTTATTTCAAAGATTTTTCACAGTCCCAATGATTTCAAATTACCGAGGTTTTACTGTATTTAAGTGGTCGGCTACAGTTGACTCCCCCTAAACGGAACTCGAGGGGCAAGAAAATTTGTTTCATTTATGAGAAGTTTCATTTAAGCAAAGCCCACAATATAAATTAATAATGACTTTATTTCAAAAGCATCAACTGTGCCTGACTGGACAGAAAAATTTTGAAGTATACAATACTGCTATAGTTGATTAGAAAGAAAAATGTTGCTAATATTGCTGACTCGGAAAAAAGGAGGTGATAACGATTTGCTTGGCCTTTTTAAAGCACTTTCTCACATAGTAGGAGTGCATTGCTGAAAGGCTGGGCAGGAACTTTGTGCCACCATCATGTTCAAAGTAGCACTGCAACAGGATGAAAGCATCCTTTGCTCCACTGTCAGCAACTGAAGTGGGCCCGGGATCCCACACCATCTCATCACCACTTAAGCACCAGTCCTCATCTTGAACTTCAGCTACAGGTTTCTCAAGGCTGTCTCCTGAAGCTCACGAGATGTCGGTTGCTGCTTGGCGTGCGCGAACATGTGCAATCACTAGATTGGCTTGGCTAGGCTAGCTTTGGCATTTGTTCCATGGTTGCTAGACATCTGTGGCCACTTCTGCCGTTCATAGATTTTGTGCGTTTTAGTTTCATATACCCGATGTAAGCGGGGAAAAAAATGTTCCTATTACCCAAAACTTTTTATCTATAAACATATATGAGACCAACCAAATGGGCCTAGATAGTTTCATTGGTGAGTCTTTTCCGTTCAACGGAGTTTCGTTCAATGGGAGTCCTCTGTATATTAACAAGGAAGTCGAATATGTTGGATTGTTTCAGCATATCGTAAGTGGACCTGTTCAGTGGCTCCTGCTCTGTAATGTCAGCTGTGAATGTCTCGTCGTTCTTTTTTTGCCCAAAAGGTCTTCCATGACCAGTGGGGAGCAACTGAGGACAGTGGAGGCTCTGACTGAGGCAATCAGCCACCGCTTGGGGCTGCGGGAACAGCTGGACGTGATACGCATCATCGACCCGACTGTCACTGTTGACCCCTCTGCCGACCGAGAGATTGCCGTCGGTCAGTGTGCTCCTCTCTTGCTTGAAATTTATTGACTGTGAACTTGCTGGATGGCATGTTGATTTTAATATACAAGTTACTGTGGTTATTGAATTTTGGCAGCATTTATAGGCTACGTCGTTGTCAAATCATTCACACTGCAAATTAAGAGGTGTGCCGTGTAACAAGGCCGTTACAGTCAAATTTATTGATGCTTTTTTTTTTCTTGTGCGTAAATACCCTGTAATGTAGTTGCAGAGATGACCACTGCCGTAGTTCAGTGGTAGAGCATTGGACGCGTTACTAAAAGGTTGCAGGTTCGGTCTCTGCCGGCGGCAAGTTATCCTTTTTTGCCCTTTGCTTTCTTCACATTTACATTACTATTACTTTAAATGTTATCCCCTATGCTTTCCTTGGAATCGATTTCTGTTAGTCAATTTTCGATTCGAGGTGAATAGTGATTTTGTTCGAATAATATTGAATCGAATTAGACTAGGATGTGCATTGTCTTCAATATTAAATTGAATTCGAACCTAACCTGCACAATGAGGTTGAAACAATGACTGCGCAAATGCCATTTTTTATTTTTCACATCTAAGGAAGTGTAAGCAATTTTGAATAGTAGCAGGATTTGACTTTCGGTAGAAGCAAGTGATAGCTCGTAAAATAGGTTACGTTTTAAAATTCGCTATACCTAGAGGAAGTTAGTATAGCAAGCTTTTAAACTTTTCGCGGCAGCGTTGATTTTTCTTGCGTATGTGTTTTCACGGCTCAGCACTACTTTACTGCAGGAAAACCGAATTCGATTCGAAGCGCATTCGAATACTGCATTATTTGTTTGCACAGGCCTAGTAAATATTGGGTCTAACAAAGAAAAGTAGCCTTCAAGTTTACGCTTCTTTCCTTCAATCACCGTATTTGCTGTACACAATGTGGCTAGTGCAATTCGTGATGTTCGAGGGAATAAACTCGACAAAAACTGTGGCACAGCTCACGTCTGCACCGAGCAAATAGTAACATAGGCAAACAACGCTCGCTGCCCACTGCAGGTTCAGTGACATAGACTGTGAATATCCAATCAGATTTATCGCTAGTGCCACATATCCTTGAACAATGCTGTGTAAGGAGTATGCAAGAACATTAAAACTTCCTTAGCTGGGCCACTGCAATTTGTAGCAGGCGGCTTAAATGAGTCTGCAAATTATTCTTACGACTTGCTTTATTGGCTCAGTGCTTTTATATAAAATCGTCAGAACCATTTCAGGATCCCCTTAAGTAGCAGAAGCCCTTGCGTTGTTTATAAGACAGTTTTATCCTCAATAAAAATAGGTAAAGCTGTGTCATTTGGGTATATAGCATCATTTGTAAAAAGAACAGAAAGCGATTTCTTGCTGACTGAGAATAAGTTGTGAATTCCAGGCCATGTTCTGTGCTCTTATGTTTGGCTTGACTGTTCTCAAAAGCCACAACAGCCAATTGCCAACATTTTCTGACCGTTCTGAAATATTGTTGCGAGGACCCTTTTAGCTGAAGAGTTCTTTGAACATTTCCCTTTTGCGTATTGCCATCACCTTCACCCTAAGCGCACGTGACAGCAGTTTTTTAGTCAGAAAATATGGCCGGAAACTAATGGTTCGTCCATCACGGTCTAGTAGACGAAGTTTAAACCAGCATGAGAGCCGTGGCTGGAGCTTTCTGTCTTCAACAACTTCCAACATACAGTAGACGTTCGATTTCCTAGACCCTCAAGGGAGGGTATTTTTTGCTAAAGGAGAAGGTCGCGGCAGGAGTACAGGGGTTCTCATTGCAATTTAGCAAATGCATCGTTTAAGCGGATCTGAAAAGAGCGGAAAGAAAAAAAAAAAAACTGGTGTGGCAGTAAACACTTAGAAGCCAAAAAAAGTCGCTTATTTTCTCTTGACGACGTTCCACTTGCCCGCAATGATGTCTGTCTCAATATAAGTTAACGTCATGCTCTCGCTGTACACCGATAACAGTTGTCAGTGCTCGCGTCAGCTCTGAGCTCGTTGGTCGTGTAGGCGCTGCCTCTTCGATCTCGGTGGTTAAGTCATCCTCACGAATGATAACCAGACAGCGGTCTGGCAACCAGCCCCAGGCCCTTCAATCGGTCTGCTTGCTTGTCTGTTGGCTTGTCGCTTGTCTGTCATTCGTCAGTTTTCCGCTCATTCGTCCAGCAGTTAAGTGATGTTCGAAAAATGAGCAAACCTTAGTCTCTTCATTGAGTGTTGTTTTCGCAAAGTTCAAACGATCCCGTGATTATATTGCAGTGTCCCTGGCCCAAACAAGTTGTCAGTGAATTGCATTGTGCATGCAAACGCATACTATCGCATTGGTACTAAAGCAGCTAAAGCGACAGCGAAGCAGACATGCCTTTTCGCGCTCTGCTGTCTAGCCGACCTTTGTGTCCTGCTGCTCGTCCCAGCCGCAGCTTCGTGTGTCCTTCGCAGCGTTGGTCTTGAAGTAACAATTTATAGAGGATACAGCTCAAACATTATCCCTAGAAAAGCAAATGTCCCGACACGACATAGTCTGTGCATGCACAGCGTGGAGTATCTTTCTAAAACAATATCTTTGGAGATACTTTCATGGGGTTAGCATCAGGCAGATCGACATCTACGAATGAAAATATTTCTGGTCTAGTGCGCTCGTAGCCACTGATAGCTCGACAGCGCCGATATCGTCGCTAGGCCTTTTTCGGCTCACTTCAAAGTACAGCTGAGGGCGCTTCGGAATTAATCGCCTACGCTCACAAACCGGAATATTTTCTTGCCGTTGTTGACACTCATCGCAGTAATTTTATACGAAGACAAAAATACTTATTGCCGACAGTGCAAAATTGTTTTTCTCTATTTCTAGTCACTTTTGTGTTATGTTATATTGCATAAAACAATTCTCACTGGTGTAAAAGAGTTATTTATAGGCAAAAAGTCTGCTTGCAACATACCATAGTTTACTCTTGTGGCTACACAAGCTAAATGGCAACGCTGTGTCAATCTTGCTTGTGTCTATTTGCTCTAAAGTACCGAACAATTGTGCAGTAGTAATAAGGTGCACCAAATGTAATGTTGATTTTCTCCTGCTCTAAATCATCCTAAAAGCAGAATTTTGTGCTGCAGAACTGCTGCAAAATGCTTATGTGGCTGCTACTGCTACAAAAGAGCCTTTTTTCCTGCTCCAAAAATTTATCCAAATTTTAGATTCACTAGACCACCACTGATTTAAGTAATTGGATGTGAGGACACTGCCTGGTGTTGGCTGTAACAAAACTGAAAGTCTACACAACAGTGTGGTTTTAATGCCGTCTTTAGCGTGAGCAGCTGAAATTCAGTGTCCTATTCTCCACATCCACACTTCTGCAGACCTGAGGCGCCTCGACGACTCCAAGCTCCGGCAGATAGCAGAGTACGTGCGGACTACCGTCGAGGCCCAAGATGCTGCAGTGGACGACAAGCCAGAGTTCACAAGTCAAGGCTCTAGAAAAAGGGGCCGTCGTCAACAAAGCAACCCTCGCTCCACATCCGGCCGCAGCACCCCTGCTTCATTAAATGCACCTGTGCATAAAGTAAGAATTTGGCACTGTGCCAGCAACAGAAATGTTGCAGAGACACTAAAGGAAAAGTTTAGTCTTTGGATCAGTTTTGTGAAAATCTAGGCGATATAGTCTGAAGGTTTACGTGAACCCTAACTTGCACCGCGTCGTGGCATCTCATGCTCAAGCTTGTGTTTGGCTTCTGTGTGCCTTTAAATCCTCAAAAGTATGATTAGGAAACACATGGCATTACTTCTTTCGCATGCCTAGCTTCTTATCTAGCTTCCAGAATGGGAAGCATAAGGTCTGTTCAATTCACCTGCACCAGTCGGAACCGATTCACGATTGTGCAGCGCGAGTTCAGCGGTGCAGGCACAGCACAATGCCCGAAACGAATGATGTGCCGACACGGTGCAGGCCTTATTACTACGCATTCGCTTAATTTACACCGTTCAGCTAACACTGACTGATGGTGAATCACACATGCGGACAGTTTATGAAGCGCAAACATCTTAGCTGGTGGGTATGGCGCCTAAGCCTAAGTGCTGCGTCGTCTGCTCAGTTGCACGCGCGGCTGCACCAAGCCAGCACTGTCAGCGTAGGAGGTGCAGGAAAATCGTGAACCAGTGCTGCACCTCTTCTGCACCTTTCAAAACAAATGACGGGGTTCAGGGGTCATCAATGCTGCATCGCTGAAAAAAATGGCTAGGTGCAGCACCTTGTGAACTAGGTCACGTGCTGCAGGCGAATCGAACAGACCGATAGTATAAGTGTGTCCCTTAATATGCGGACCAGAGGTTTGAGTTGACGATGGAATTCTGCACGGACCCCCTAACAGCTGCAAATAATGTCATTTGCAGATAGTGGCAATTGTGATGTGGTGAAGAGTAGATGGAAGCAACAAAACAAAGTTGCAGCATGCATAAAGAGCTATGCATATTGTCAAGTCGCTCCAGGGGTGTCGACAAGTTTTATCGACGTCCGAGCAACATGGCTCTAACCAAGCGCGTCGGTTGGGCTTGTTTGCCAGAGCAGGGGCCCACGCGCACTTCCTTCTTTAATGTGGTGTGAGCCTTCGCCTTGGCATACGACCCACTACTAGAAGTAGGTGGCAATATCAGCTGCTAGTATAATTGTTTTCAGCAAATGCTTGTCAGATTATGTTGATGCCATCGGATTTTGTTGGCTACTATTGAGTATGTGGCTAGACAGGGCTGGCAATGCTCTCGACATTGTAGCTGGAAATGAGGATATGCAAAATGTCAAGAACAAATAAGTTTAATTGTTTCGCAAAAAATATGACAATGCACTTGTATATAAAATCATTTACCTTTGATGAGAATTTAGTGGCCGTTCTTTGGCAAGGATACTCATTCATGACAGAAAGGCATTCGAACAGGGAATGTTGTTTGTTTGCTCAGGTCATAATCGTTTAACGACGTAAGATGTCCCAGTGTGGCAGCCAGCACAGTGCATTGAGCGTAAATATTATTAGGTGCTAATGACATTAAACTTTCTCGCGTTACAGGGGTATTAAAAAGGTGTACGATGTATTGATAATGCAATTCTCTCGGAACGCTTGAAAGGACACTAAAGAGAAACAGTAAGTTGTTTGATTGATAAACTGCGCTTTGAGAACTCTAATGTTACAGGTTTTATTGACACAAGTAAATTTCATGCTATAATCTTTGACTTGACGTAAGAAATTTCACAATGTATTTTTCGTATTTTCGCGACATTGGCTCGGTGAAAATTTGAAACTTCGCATGCTAGGTTACAAACCCGCAGATTACAATGTACTTAAATTTTCTCGATTAGGAGCTACGTAGGTCCCAGTTGACTCCTTCAAAATTCTATGGCGTCCCCCCCGCGCATTGTTTTTTTTTTTTTTTTTTTTCGCACTTGCTCGCTTGTCAATGGTCGTGTCGCGGTAAGAGTGGTGTTTTTCGAGATTGTAAAATTGTACTTTACTGATACGCAAACAAGCGTTTTTGTTCTGTAGTGTCTTTTTAATTCTTTTCATATCTGCAGTAGAGAACAATCTTAACTCTGGCTGTGCATCACTTCTTGCTTTGTTCTCCTCGGTTATGTTTTTGCAGAAGGAGCGGTGTAAGCGCCCGCGGCAGCGGCAGCAGCGGCGGCGGCGTGTGGCGATGGCCCAGGTCCAGACACAGCAGGACAAAGCGCACGAACAGAGGCTCAAGGAGCAGCGCAGCGGGCTGTTCTTGCACGAACAAGTTCTCACGCTGACAAGCACAACTTCTTCCTCGTCCTCCTCGAGGGGTAATTCCTCCCACCCAAGCATAGCGGGCACGGACGACGAAGATGAAGAAGTCGACATCCTACACTGAGCAATTTGCAGGGGGGGTATATAAAAAAAAGAAGCGGGATTTTGTAGGAGTGGGTTTAGAAGAGAAATGGCAGTGCACTTTTTTTGTAATTTATGTATTTTTCGAGTTTCGACCTTGCATCTCTTTGAAACGCTGCTGCCATCTGGCTGCCTGGTCACACGAGGCTGGAGCTTAGTTCCCCTTTCTCGCTTGTGGCGCATCACAGTGGTCTTCGTTGGCGCGATCTTTTTGTTGTTCACCCCGCAGGTGCGAGTGTTTGTGCTGGACTTAAAAGTGGTCCGTTGGTCAAAGTATGTTTGAAGTGTGGCTGCAGAATTCATTCATGCTGGGCAAGCTAAACGAGCCCAGTAAATGCAGTCACCGTTTCAGCGTGTAGTACCATGTCTTCGTGTATGTATCCTACGTCTTTAGCTGTAGACCTTTGATAGGGCAAAGTTCAAGCTGTAACGGATAAGTACAACTGTGCTTAGTGTTCAGGCATTAGGCCTGCACTTTTGACTGTCACTGTCCAAAATTTAAGGTTTGCTTGATGTCGCCATGTCATTTACTTGTCAAGAGCATTTACATGCAGAATTGGCCGCAACAAAGTTGTACCTTCCTCATTTTCATTGAACTTCATCGAAGCTTTAAGAAATAGTTCTATGTGTAACAGCACTGTACATTCTCACCTGCTAGGTAAGCAAGAGCAATTGTGAGAATTGTAGCCTGCTGTCACCTGACCTGTGTGAGTTGGCTGTTTAATAGCTCGTATGCATCAGGGGTAATTGCATCTATCTCCGTGGTGCCACCTGTGCAAGGGTCAGAATAAGCCTTCCTGTTTGGCATACATCACTCGTGATTCATGAAGCTGTCCGTTTTCGTTCCGTCTTGTCCTCAGTTCTGCAAGAGTTGCTTCCGCTTGCTTTACAGGCTCGAGAAATCATTCAAGTTCATAGCAGCCCCTGCGCACCTCTGTGATCAGTCCTGTCATTTTTTGTTTCTCTCTATTGCTCAATTCCCTTGAAAGCCACAGGGAGCTTTGGAGGCCTTTGTTGTGTTGGCATAGACTCAAATGTTTTTAGGTGAAATTGGGGCACGTGCATTTGGTACTTATTGTGCGACCGCCCTTGTGTCTGCTTTTCTCTTGGATTCAGTTGTTTATCCTTTTTCTTGTTTCTTTTTATTCATTTCCTCCACCAATCTCCTTTTCTTCTAGATTCTTTGTGCTTTTTTTTTTTCTTTTTAAGCAGAGCATTAGTGTTTTGTTGAAAATTGGGGCTGTCATTTCATGTACTTTGTACAGCTGTCATCGTTCAGGTTTTTATGCAGGCATTCGTCCACTTTTGCAAGTTCAAGCTTTCTTGCGTGTGCCCATTACGTTTGGGCAAGCCAGTGTTTGTGTGGAATGTCACTCAACGCTCTCTGCCTTGTGCAACTCGTCCCTGCTTTGCTTGAAAACTGCGACAGGTTGACTTCTGTGATGTACTGCCATTGAAAGTCACCAAGGCGAACGTTTTTCTTCTGGACTGTACATACTAGGTGTCCCTTGCAACTCTTGAGTGCGACTTTTCACTGCACCACAGTTACACTTTTCCCCCACACGATCTTTCATTGCTCCTATTTCGTGTGTGCAAGTGTCTGTGTCCGTGTCGAACCATGGCTGAGAGCTTTCGTAGGTTTTGCTTTTTACGCTGCGAGACTTTTCAAGGACTCTCAACTGTGATGGGGTCGGTTGCTTTAGCTGCGCAGCGGGTGCAGTCATTCAGTTGCGAATAGTCTGTAATAACAAAGCTGCAGTTTTTAATCTTGCCTGTGTCTCACTGGGGCATTTTGCATTGCAAGGTTAGAGCGCATTTTCGGTGCTTTCGTTCAACATCTTGATGCTTGACACATTCGCGCTGCCTCTTAACAGCGTACTTTTGTTCCAAAACAAATGTTCTTGCACACCTTTCCTTGCCTCACTGTTGTTCACATGGTGCGTTTGTTTCTTGAACTGTGGGTACATGACCAGCTAGTTGTAGCGTTCTAAGAGGGAAATTTACGAGTACATAGTCCTCCAAGGAACAAAAATCGAGCAAGCAGCGTTGATTATATTAGCACCAAGACTCCGCAAAGGGTCTGTTCTACCATGTGCTGCAGCTGACATGCCTCCGAAAAGAAAAAAATGTGGTTCCCTAGCTGGTAAAACGAAAAAGAAAAAGGTAGAAAAGCCACCATCTCAATACACATTGCCTTGGCGTGGCGCTATGCACAATAATGAAAAGCATGTTTAATAGGTTGTATTGGTAGGTTCTGTATTGACTGCCATCGCCCAGTCACAATAGTGCAGCTAAGTTTACAGGCCACCTCCATTGTAGTTGCTTCTTTTCGAAAATAGGTCTTGCCAAAACTTTCATTTTGTGAACATGTGTGAGTGCGGGAGCCTTTGTACTGTAAAAAGAAAGTGACTTTTCACTCAGCTGACTTTTCGTTGTCTTGTCGGGCTTGGTAGCTGAATCTGAAAAACTGCTTACCTTGTGGAATTGGCTTGTCTGAAACTGGCAAGCAGTTTGGTAGAGGCCTTGTATCGATTTGTGCCAATATTTTAAGTTCTAAGGAAGTATCCATCATGATTTATTCTGTGTGGCTTCGTTCCGTACAAAAATCGCTGGAAAGATCTGTTTGGTTACCACAGTACAGTCGCAAGTAAAAGATTGGGGACCATGGTGTTCCAAAAAAGAAAAATCCAGCACAGCAGCATTTGTGCCACTGGATTTCAATCAATTTGTTTGTGTTCTGAAGTAAAAAAAAATGTGCAGCGAATTCATCCCCACACTTTTGCACCTAATTGTGCTTATGTACTGTTTATTCGTGGTAGCTATTGTGCCCTCGTAGCATTCTTTTTTTCGTACCTTAATTTTTTTTTAATGCAGGAAGGTACCTGTGCTTCATAACCATGCAAATTATTGCAATTATAGTGCCACCTCTCAACATTTTATGTCAAAAGGTCATTTGGCTTCTTAGTATGAAGTTTAGTACGTTCAGTTACGGCTCTTTATGTACCCACTTTTCTAACAGCCATACTTGAAACGTTTTTCCAATAATCTTTGTCTCTGGCTTTCTGATGTAGTTGTGCTAGATCTGCATCACACCAAGGTTTCTGTTTGGTCCAAGATTTGCATAAAGCTGCATATCTTGCTGCACTGCTAATTTTGTTGAGTTTCAAAGAGCAGTTGTATATGGTGTTCCAGCAAAATGTCAGAACTATTTAGCCATGCTTTCATCTTTAAATTGTATATATATATATATACTTTTACCATGCCAATATTTTGTTAAAACATGTAATGCGTGTGTAAGGAATCACTTATTCAGCCATGGCTGCGAGAAAGCAGACTATCTTGTCATACGTAGGTTGGTGATGCCGAAGGTGAATGAAAGTTCATAGTTCTAAAAGTCTACAGAGCTGGGAGTAAACGGATTTGCCATCTTGTATAGAGAATTATGCAGGGGTGTGTGAATATTAAGTTTTTCTCATTCAGTCAAACAGCATACTGTTTTATTGGTCTTGCAATGGGTTCCTGTTATATATGTTCTTTGCCACTGTGTTTATTGCACCATTTTCGACATTGCGAGCCAAAGCCAACTCACCCTACCTTTATTGCGTCCTTGAATGTAATAGCTGCCATTCGTGAATGTGAATAGCTTGCAAATACTTCAAAACTTCAGCTGCACCAAACTGAACACGAACTTGGTGCCAAAGTGCAATAACATTCATTCCCACGAGCATATTGTGTGAAACATTGCATGTCGCAGGCTACATTGCATATCAGGCCTGACTGTACTGGCTGCACAGAAAGGATTTGCACACATCTGCTCTCCAGATTCAAAGCCTGGCTTGCTTGTTCATGATGCTTTATTGTTTTTAATGCTGGAAGTATAAATTCTAGCACGTGCACATTTCGCATTAACTGTAAGAATAACTGTTCAATACTCTTGAACTACTTCAATTTTGTTAAATTAATGTGCTATTTGACTTGTATTCATTTCTGGTCTCGAAAGTTGCTATTAGCACACCCCTTGCAAATCTTGGCAAGACCGCACAAGCAGCCATAGCTGTACAAGGCTGTAGTCGCTTGTGTTGGGGGGAAAGTTGAAGGTTTTGGTATGGCATCCTGGAACATAATGTTCATAAATGTTGATTCCAGGACTGCGCATTGTCTTTTCAACAGATCATGTTCTGCAAACTTCTGCCGTTGGCGGTATACAGTTGTGCACAGTCATCATCAATAAAGAGTTTTTGCTATAACGAGCTTGTAGTGGTCGTTGGCTTTGCTGAATGAACTTTTGGCATTGGCAGCTTTTGCGCTGAAGCGCACTTTATTTGACAAGGGAATAATGGCTTGATGTTTCGAATGATGGCAATGCTGAATACACTGTGTGCGTGCAGGTGCTGATTAGTTTGGCTTCACAGTGGATGCTTGACCAAGATGCAGTGAAGCTGCGCTATATAGTACTCTCGTTAAAGGGGTCGTGAGAAGGTCGCTTTACGACAATCCGGCACCATCGGCAGCCACACGCGCTAGCTATATCATCAGCTCGAGTGGACCTCCATGCATAGACGCTTTGCCTATCGAGGAACGCAAAACTCTACTGTATCTGCGAGCGTGCGCAAGAGGCGCTGATCAGCGTTTGCCATACTTAATGCGCATCCCTCAAGAACGCTTGTTTATATGACGTCAGCTGCAGGTTTGAAGTTAGCGCCATTTGCATATAGCAAAGACGCTGATGGGCGTCCCAATTGCACGCACTCACAAGGACCGGGGAGTTCCGCGTTTCCACGTCACCTAGTTAGTGTGTGTGCACGTCGATGGTTTGGCATTGTCGTTTTAGAGCGAGCGTTTCACGACCCCTTTAGGTGCACAGCGTTTTGATGCGTTTAAAGGGCCATGGAATCACTCAGAGGTAGAAGTTTACTTGTAATTTTGCTGCTGTTCATGTCTCTCTAGTAAACTTGTAACCGTGAGATTTTTTTGAAGCAGTGCCGTAATAGCAGAGTTACGCTCGTTTGAAGCGGAGTTACGCTCGTTAAAGGTGCCTGCTGCTCTTTCGTTTGTCACGCTGTGTAGGATCGTCACTCTTCCTTGCACGGTCAGAAGAAAAAATGACTAGCGTGCGTAGCTGTGAAAAGACGAACATGTTCCTTTTGATCGTGATGTGACCAGACTCGAATGCTTGCGTCGCGGTCAACGCTGGGGATACTGGAAGGCACGGAGAGGACAAGGTATTGTCGTAATTTGTGGTCCGCTCGCGGCTCATTGCCCTGCTGCGTATGGCATTGTTGTCATGACTGCATGCTGAACACTCTGCGCGCGTTTACTTGAAAAATTATCGGAGGTGTTTTAGGGGCTCTTTAAGTAGACGTCATTACCGTTGAAGTGTGTATAGTTTGAAACCTGACTTACGACGTGCATATTGCACGACTAGTGTGTCGGCTTAGAGGCTCTTTCGCATTTTCGCGTGGGTGTTGCCTTTAATCATTCAGGTGAAAACAGCACACAGAACACTTGATATTGCCAACTGTTGGAAGATCGTGTCGATTATTACTTAAAGGGAGAGTCTGTTTGCACCTCGCTTATTAGATGGGCGCTACCTCAGCAGCTCGGCATCACGTGAGCTGAGGAAACGTCACATATGACGTCATGCCACTGCCGTACAATCTGAATGGGAGGGGGCTACTAACCTACGAAGTGCCGCTTTGTGGTTCTCTGTGTTTTGTCAGCATCACTGTTGCTTCTCATTTTATCATTGGCGTCGTGCGTGACGTTTCTGTTCGAGTCACGTGACGCCAAGTTCAGGCACAAGTGACTTACGGTATAATCTATGGTGGGGACACTAGCGCAACCAACCAGATAAGGAGACGACGGCACGGGTTGGTTAAGTGATAGAAATGCAAGGTGTCTTTTTGTTGCGTAGGCGATAGATGATCGCTGCCGTCACCGGACCAATGCGCACTCACTGTAGCTGGTCGATCGCTTCTTGCAAGCAAGCCGCCAAGTCGGTTTAGTGTCCGCACCTTGCATATCGTGCGCAAATCTTAAGCAAGCGTGCGTGACCTTTTGCTCTTCAGCGCCGTATGGTGGAGCCAAGTTGCAAACGAGGCTGGTCCACAAAGAACGCTCAGTGAATAACGACACGTGTCGCTCCTCATCGCCTGTGTGCCGCAGATGCGGCGAGCTAAGAAACGCGGAAGCATGTCATGTGCTCCCGCCCAGCTCTTGCCGCTGAATGATACGCGATGGAGCGCTGCTATCGCCTGCTCGGTCACCCCATGACAATTGTGGTGGGCATACTTTTTTTTTTCCCCGCACGGCCGAAGGTAAAGTATCTAAACGTTGACCGAACGTACCAACCCTGCGAGCTTTTCTCAAGTTTGCGGCTCCTGCAGACCAATGCTGTGGCCTCGTATTCCCGCCTGGTAAGATACTATTGTACTATGTTACTCTCCTTTCTATGTTCTCTTCTTATCATCTTTACATCCCTATCCCTAAAAGCGTTGAGCCGTGCTCCAGGATGGAAGACAGAGAACAGTGTCATTTTTTTTTTTCTTATAAGGGGCTCTGAAACACTTTTTCGAATAACCGTGGAATGGATTCACTAAAACAACGTATTGCCTTACGAATTCAATGCCACAAAAATTTCAGAATCCGTCCAGTAAGAGTGGAGTTACAAAGGATTGCCTCATGCTGCAATCGAATTCTCGCCTCTCTCGTCCCGGTGAAAGCGCTGGAGGCTAAGCAGGGAAGGATAGCAGAGGCGAAGGAAATACGTCACGCGCGCCTCGTGACCTTGACCACATTTTTTTTTTTTAACGAATACGCGGCTCTTTCCGTGTGATCGCGCTCGCATGCCTGGACAAGTCGCGTCCTCTCCCGGTGATCCCTGCGGCGGCTGAGCGCGCCATGTTCAAAACAGCCAATGGCTGATAGATGGCCTTCTACGCGAAATTTTTGAGCGTCTTCCATCATTTCTCGAGAGAAGAGAAAGCCATTTTTAGCTGACTCATAATTTATTGTGAATTCCAGGCCACGTTTTGCGCTATAATATTTCGCTTGCGTGTTCTTGGGAGCCTCTATTACCAATCGCCAGCGTTTTCTGACCATGCTAAAAAAGTGTTGCAGGACCCCTTTAACCACCCTCTCATCGTTTGAGGTAGTTCCTTCTCTAAGGAATGTGGCGCTGACGCACAGGCCTTCAATAACCGCTAGGAGCTTGTGAGCCCGTTCATTTTGCTGAACAGATAAACCATCGCTACAGTTTGTCAAAAGCGACGTGATCTTTGAACAGGCCGTGATTTCACGTGCTGAAGAGAGACTAGCCCAGGTAAGGCTTGACGTCTCTGTACGCTTTAGTTCCAACGTTGACAGTCACGAAATTTTTAATTGCTTTCAGCTCATCGTAACTTAGTTTTTACAGCGTGATTTACAGCTGCATATAACCCATTGATCCGTGCCAGCTTTCGCTTATTCAGAAGCACGTGTTCAGAACCTTATTCAGAAGCACGTGTTAACGATTTATTTTTATTGTTGAATCCTTTGCAGAGCTGGCGAAGGGGGGTGGGCGCGCGGGGTTCAAACTCTCCCGAACTTTTGCATGTATATGTATACACACGTGCTCATACGAACACACACACGAACATGTATAAAGTATGGTCGAAACTTTCCCAACTTCTCCTCCAAAAAAAAAAAAAAAAATCCGGCTACGCCATTACGGAGATCTTTTCTCAGACTCGACCCACGGGAAAGGAGGGGGGGGGGGGGGGGGGCGACAGTCAAGCCTGCCTTCCAACTCCTAATGGAGCACACTGCCCACGCATGTGGCTACAGATGTTAGGCTCATTAACGTACGGGCTTGGCGTAGACGCACACGTACGGTCTAACGATTTACGGGTTCAGCACTTTGCCCATGGCTATAACCAGTCCGCTAACGTTGTCCACGACGAAGTAAAGGAACGGCCTGTCGAGCACTACGTCAATGGTCTCTTCGGAGGGGCCGACAAACGCCGGTTCGCGGCGCCGGCTGGTTGGGTTCGGTGGTGGTGGCGCTGCATGCCCACTACCGCCGGCGGCGGCTACACGAGGCCCCTTGATGTCGATGGACGTCTTGTGCACAACGTTGGTGACGTGCAGCCACGGCACGTCGCTCATGTCGAAGAGCTGTGCCCTGCCGGGCCCGAACAGCGAGGCGAGGCCCATCTGTGCCAGGGAGTCGGTCAGATTCTCGTGGCTGTGCTCGATCTTGATGCGGGGTAACTGCGGGCAAGCGTCGGTGAGAGGGAAAGATCAGCACTGGCGCGCTTTTCTTCTCAATTGTAGAAATTTAAATTTACGCTCTTAATTCTATCTATTGATGTATGAAGTGTGCCTAAGAATAATGTAGGGCACTGTCGGCCTCAACTTTTATACAACTGATGTGACACAAGAGAAATGTGATTTTTCTCGTGTTACTAAATTATCGCTCACACGATATTAAGAAACACTACGCCTGCTGCGAGAAGATGTCTGATGAGTAAGAAAATCCGCAACAATAAAACACGGGTGGCGATGCCACCATGAAGTTCTCGCACCAGTTACTATGACGTCATAAAGTTTTGCGGCATTGACTAGGGCCTACGCAGTTCTCAACCTGCAAAAATGAAATACAGCTGTCTTCTAAATGAGACAGACACTTAACAAATTTTAGGCAATTTAGCTTAGCCTACGAGGCCAAAATAAAGAAAAACGCTATGAATTCCGTGACGTCACCATCAAACATTTTGGCGGTAAGTTTAAAAGCGATACTTTGATTTACAGAGACGTTCTTATCTATCAGTAAACTTTTGGTGGGGAGATTAACGACAGTAGACTTTTCAAGCTATAGTTTGTCAGCCTTAACTAAATTATTGTTTCAGTCTAGAGTCCCTCTAACTGTGCCTCATAGACTGGAGTTAATTTGGGAAGTCTATGAATAGCGAAGTAAGGGGAAAATGTCAGCATTATAGGCAACACAATTGCAACCAGGAAGTATGGGCCCGAAATGTGAACGTGTCGTTTAAGAGCGCGCGCTAGTAACGTACGTATGGCAATGCTGCTGGACAAAATAGGTTAGTTGGTAAGACATTGTTATTAGTCGTTAGAGACGCGACTATCGCGGAGTGGGCCCCTCCGACGTTGGGCGGGGGAGGGGGGAGTGATTTTAAATGAAAAGAAGAGAAAAGTGAGCCCCGCAACTGTCTCTCAGGGGGAGGACACCTCAACAGTAGCTCACGAGGGATGGGGGTAGAGAAGGGATTAAAACGATAGGATTGAAAGGTAAAGAAAGAGAGAGGAAGCAGAGAGCGAGGCGCCGGGACAGCGAACGACCGAAGTAAGGAGAAGACAGGAAAGATGGACATGGTTGCAGGAGTCCGAGGACGGGGCACCACTGGCGAGAGCTCTTGTCGGCGCCAGGAGATGACGTAGGGCAAGTCCAGTCGGCCACAGCTACGCTGACGTCGGATATCGCGAGGGCACAACCGGCCGGCACGACATCCAGCGAGCGAGTCCCGACGTTGGCAAGGTTGGGTGTATACATATAGCATCATGGGTTCTCTGGACGCGTTGGGAAAGTGAATGGGATGGCTTCGCGAACATATGCTCGCCAACGTCGGCTACGTGTCATACCCCCGTATTCACAAACGCTCCTCGACTCGACTTTCACCCTTCACCTGACGGAGCTGCGCACTGCGCCGCTGCTCGGATGAAAATTACGCTGCGCTACTCAAGATTGGCAGCAAATTATACTGATATGCAGTGACTTTTACTGCCTAGAGATGGCGCTTTTTTCGGCTTTCTCAAGTGAAGGTGGGGAGTCGAGTGAAGGGGCGTTCTAGAATACGGGGGATAGTGTTCTTAGCATTGATGGATGGATGGACGAATGGAAGAACATCATTAATGTCGCTTAGGTCGCGCTAGTGTCCTAGTTCGAAGCGGGCCGCTCTCACGTTGAGGCCGAAAGACCTAGTCTTTCAGCCACTTCGCGGCGCCGCGCACGTTGAACTGCACTTAATTGTCCCTCTAATGTAGAACTGCGTGGAGCTGCGTCCCACCGTTCTCCAGTATTTTCTTTGTCTCTGTGTAACGCGGAGCAATGGTAGAGCATATGAGCGAGATCTATGGTGTGTATGTGTGTTTTTTTTACTTTTTCTGTGTGGTATACTACATTCACCAACACATTGAATATGAACCCCCCACCACCACCTCCTGGAAGATAATTTTGGCTATGCCCCTCCACGGTTATTAGTGGATTTCTCATGTAATGTTTCCTATAGTCACATGTTTCTGTCTCCAAAGATGTTCGACCATATCCAAATTTCGCCAGTGCATACATGGAAATAGAAAATAGAATTCCGGGTCTGCTTGTTCAGCGCCTCCTTCTTTGTTTATTTTGACAGGCCTACGTGTATTTACTTAATCGATATGCATTGCAGTCCCATTGAAAGGCATTGAGTAATAGGGTGGGAAAGGGGGAGGAGGGGGAACAGAAAGAAATATTAGCATGGAATAATAAGGTGACAAAATAAATGTTGCAATTAATACAGTAGAGCACATCATTGTAGGATACTGTTAAGTAACGCAATAAGGTCATCACGGGAAGTTTCGTGGAGATAATTGTCCGCCCGTCAAATATTCTAGTTATAAGAATTTAGACCAACGGACCAACGCCAGCAAAAAAAAAAAGCATGCTACTGCAGTAATAAAGAACGTGTTAGCACTTCAGCTGTTAGCACGCAAAAACTGGGAAGTACCACAGCTTCCATGATCAACTCCGGCAGTGCGCCGCTGCCACGGCCGGAGTTGGTGACGGAGGCTACGCCTAAATTGCTAACGTTCTACAAGCGCCTCACCTTGAGGTTTGCCCTTCGCACTTGCATGTTGGCGAGGATGTCACTGATCCTCTGGGCGCTAAGGCGTGTCTCGAGCAGGCCCATGTCGTCATGCTCGTTGGGCGTAAGCGTGAGCAAGGAGATGAGCCCGCCTCCGGCCAACGGAACCTCGACTGCCGTGCAGTTGAGGTAGTCGTGGCGCGCGTACCGGACCCGAGTCCAGCGGGCCTCCAGCATCGCAGGGTTGCCGCCAAGCGACTCGATCGCCTCTGCGGCCGCCGCAGTCGTGTCTGGAAGAGGTAACTTTGTCGTAAACTTTGCCTATTGCGTTTAAAATGTGAAGTACAGCTACAGCGCGACGGGTTCTGGATGGGTGTATGAAACTGTTTCTCCATTGGACGTTATCTACCAGGTGCATGTGTGGGTATATAGCTCCGGCACATGTACTGTCAACAGTAAAATTTTGTGGGACGCCGAATGTTCGATAAAGCTGAATTCCCGTTTTGTCTGGGAATTTGATTTCGGAATAGATGACCCATACTGCTCTTGGCATTCCGATCCTATACAGTCACCAGCTTGAATACAAACATTAAGCCCTGATATTGCAGAAATTCGCATTTGCTGTAGATCCAACCTCCCGCGAACTTTTGCTGTTGATAGTACATCGGACAAACATAAGTACAAAGTTTAAACGGGCGTCTAAAGCACCGAAGCTCGATGCTCCAAACCTTATGTGACAAGCAAGCAAGCCTTATAGTGCGCTGATTCACTTGCCGCGTTTTCCCGATGCCAGCGAAGAAGACTGTGCATCCAGGACGGGACACAGAGACACACAGTGGTGAGTGTCACACATGAACACAGCGCTGTGTCTGTGTGTGACACTCACTCGATCGCGCCTTGGATTAGATGCACTAATGGCAGTAACTGTACCGTTTGAACTACGGTATTACCGTTCCGCTTTAAACGTGTACCAATCTGATGGAGGCGGAAATGTTGTAGGCCCGTGTGCTCAGATTTGGGCGCACGTTAAAGAACTTCAGGTGGTCCCGATTTCCGGAGCTTTCCACTACGGCGTCTCTCATAATCATGTGGTGGTTTTAGGACGTTAAACCCCACAGATAAATCATTTAAACGTATACCATGTTGCGAAAACGTCCTGCGCGAGTTGCTCGATATACATTATTTATAATAGTACTGAACGCTGGACGAGTTGGTAATTCATAACTACAAAACTGCGCGGAAAAGCGACGAGAAATAGAGAAGGCACAAACACAAACGCAGACTAGCAAATGAAAGTTTATTGGAGGATACACATATATAACTAGCAAAAAAAAATGACGTGAAAGATTAGAGGTTGGTGGTGAGACAAACCATCTCTAGTTGATGCAAAGTCACCGGAAGCCTCGCATCACACGTATCGCCATACTTTGCATCGGTGACTTTGCATCAACTAGAGATAGATTATGTCACTGCGAACCTCTAATCTTTCACGTCATATATTTTTTTTGCTAGTGATTTATGTGTATCCTTTAATAAACTTTCAGATGCAAGCCTGCGCTTGTGTGTATGTGCCTTCTCTGTTTCTTGTCGCTTTTTCGCTCAGCTTTGTAGTTAGATTATTTATAGTTGCTCAAACGGGCATTGGTCATCAAATCATCCGCGTACCGACCACTGCAGTTCCGTGCTTTCATACATACACGGCCCACCGGAACTGTTGAAGGATTCCAGTATGACTCATCCGCAAGCCAGAAGTTGCATTTTTTGCACGTGGACTGTCTGTCGTCTATAGTTACTGTTAAGGCCAAACCTCATAAGCGCGAAAATGCACGCGACAGCGACAAGCGACGCGACGTAGATCGGCTTCGCGCGATCAGTCGCTAGCGCAGGCAAACCTCATTCACGCGCCGGCTTCGGCGAGCGAATTCCACTGTTGCTGGCATGAGGCCGTCTACTCTCACCAAGAAAACCGCGTAGCGAGCGGTATGCTATTTAAAAATAAGATATATTGTTATGTAATGAAACGGAAAGTGTTTATTATTGCCTTGCAGCACTTTTTTATATGCACATGCGTAATAAACATTGCGTTATTTCTTGTTGCGCATACGTGACTCGGGCAGGGTCACGTGCACCTATGTAGTCTTTGTCTTTTCCGGTATTTCGCTATTGGCTGCTTGAGCCCAGCACTTCCGGGCGATGAGCGACGGTTTCCAAATCTGGAGAACCGAGCGATCGCGCGAAAACGAGCACGCGACACGTCGCGCGAACGCCCTGTTTCGTCGCTCATAGCGTCGCTCGTCGCTATCGCGTGCATTTTCGCGCTTATGAGGTTTGGCCCTCACATTATTCATATTGCAAACGACAATTGACCAATAGCCAGTTTTCGCTGTGGCGTTTTTCTTTCCAGCTGACCAGGGCCAGCGAGAGTGTCAAGGGTGGTTCCAAAGCTGCTGACCTTCCGAGGAGGCGGAGTCGGCGCCAACTCGTCTGCCGAGCTGCAGCAGCGTCGGTGACACCGCGTTGAGGAGCGGCTGCGCCCTCCAGCGGACCCCTTCTGCGGGCACGAGGTCAAGCTCGATGTGCGAGTCCAAGTGCAGGCCGGACAGAAGAAGCAGCTGGGTCCACGGCGGCGGCGTGTCCGGCAGCAGGTTCGCCAACTGCGCGTGACTGGCCTTCTCGACCACGGCGTTGATGTGCTGCCGCGCTTCCTCGGCGTTGGCCGCGAAGTCGAGCGAATGCACGGACGCGTTGTAGAAGTGGTACAGCGACCGCTGAAACGGGTACTTGACGCCGAAGTCGCGCTGCACGTACAGGCTCCTGTACCACGGGTGTCGGGGATAAATGAGAACACACAAAGCTCGGTTTGGCGTGAAAAAATGGAAAATTCTGGGCGCCGACTCGAGACGCATTCTTTCTCCGCTTTGTAGATTTCCTAACGCATCTACCCTGACCTAGCTGCATGGCAGACCCTTCCCCGCCCAATCTTCTGGGCACTACCACACCTATGGTGTGGGAAAATTTCGCCCAACAACCCGTGGCTCTAACTTCGGGTCATAAGCAGAGCCGGGGAGGTGACTACCAGGCATATAATCTGGCAGACTATTTCTCTTGATCGATGACTCTAGGGTTAACTAAAAAAAATTAAGGCAATTTCACGCTAGGAGTGCAAGCATGAGGAAAGTGGGAAGCTGGGCAGCCTTCTTTGCTTCTTTCCAGTTTTCCCCCTTTTTCTCTCTTTGGTTTTGTTTTTTGTCTTTCGCATTTTCCTGTCTTTTTCTTCTCTCTTTACTACCATGTATTTCTTCATTTCTCTTTATCCATTTCTTTCTTTCTGGCTATTTTTCTTTTTATGCTTTTTTTCTTCCATTATCTCTCTTTGTATTTCTGCTCTTCAAACATATCATCATCAAGGCACACGTCAAAGAAACCCAGGTAGGTGAAATTTCAGGGGCCCTCGACTACGGCGCGCGCAATGGTATCGCAGTATTGGCGCACATGAAATCCCAAACAATTATTAATATTATTCTTTTCTTTTTGAATACAATATTAAACAAAGCAAGCGATATCTTTCAAGGCGACCAATGAAGAACGGTTGAGAATGTCGCATTACATTTATCACATTACATTGCAACAGCGCACAGGAACCTGTTACTAGCGGTTCACCGAATCTTCAAGCGGCTCTGATCACTGGCTATAGGACCTTATCGTCTCCATCGCATGTTTAACGTCATCTTCTTTACCACAGCGGCCCACAGGGGTCTGTCAGGAACGACACTCCACAACACAAGTTGATCTTATGCACCTGTATTTACATCCAAGAGAGCATCATCCCAATTTTAGGCCACAATTACGAAAACAAAAACCTGACGCACAAGCACACATGATGTAACAGTGAAGAAGTGTTCGCAAGGTGGAACCTCTCACCATAGTGAAAGATAGCCGCGCCGTCATTGCGTTTAAGCAGAAAATACACCGATGTCTAGTAAGGCTTCAAAAATAATTGTTTCCTCTCTCTATGAAATCACATGGTTTTTTGTTGAAATTTACGTGTATCTGTCGCATTTTAATTTAGTGAGTTGCAACGACATGGAATCGTTATTTAGAAAGTCTGGGTATTTCTACACATTCCTCGTTTTTGTGTCTAAAAAAATGAATATTACTCTACATCATTACTGCAAACTAAATCTTACAAAAAGGTATCGAAGTATAAGTGTTTTTCTTATGATGTTTGATGGGCTGTTATAAAAACTGGGCAAATGTCGCTACTTCTGTGCTTAATATTGTTTTAACATGTGTACATTACTGCTGCTTGTGTGCTCTATTGACTGGGATGGATTAGGGCCCCTTGTCAGGCATTAATATGCCCATTTGCCTACTCTGTTCCTTACATGTCTACACTGTACTTTGTTGCTGATTTATGATTGATTGATTGAATGATTGATTGAGAGAGAGCGAGACAGGTTTATTTACAGAAAGGCAGAGAGGTTGGCCTGAGCGGTAGCTTATCTATAGTCTGCTACTCCACGCTGGGGGAAGAGAAAGGGGAGAATAAATACTAATGGATGACGATGGTGAGATGGAGCAGTGAGTATATAGAATTCTTTCTAGCTGAGAAAACTTTTATAGCCGCGCATACACTCCAGTTGCTTTCAAAAAGGTTTTAACCACTCTTATGACCACAGTTGCACTATTGGTGTCTGGCCAAGGGCCCAACACGGTCTTATCAGTTAATGACCTACAGCGATATCTTCCAGTAGAAGAAATAAGTGTTTGTCGTTAACGTGCGTATGCTGGGCAATCGCAAAATGCGTGTGCTCAAGTGTTTCTGGCACATCACAGTGTTCACAATTAGGACGAGTGTCATTGCGACCGATGATATGTGCGTAACGTCCGGTGTACGTCACACGAAGACGAATGCGTTGGATTGATTGAATAAACCTCTAGTCTAGTACAAAAAAGAAAAAAAAGTTCACACAAGGGAGTTCGAGTATGTATATTATACCTGAATATGAGGAGGTTGGCGTCCCTCAGGTTTAACGCCAGGTGCGATGACAGGTCTCTCACCGCAAGGTGCACGTGCTGCATCCCCCACAGGTAGAGGACGTGGCGCAGCGCCATGGCCGAAGAGCCGCGGGCCCCCAGAAGGAGCATGCCCAGCGAGGAGCTGACGCAGAAGGGACACAGGGCCACGTTTCCCTCGGCCTGCAGAAGGCGGGACTCGCTCCCCACGTCTCGCAGTGCCCGGTACAGGTCCAGCCCGAACTGGTTCGCCGAAAAGGCCAGCTTGCGCGTGCCGAACGGCAGGCCCTGCTGTGCGTCGGTCATCTGCGCGCACGTAAGCAGGAGCAGGACGGCTGGCCACAGTGTGGCCGTCCACGGGAACGCCCTGGTCTCGCGGATAGGGAGCGACGAGTGCAGGTCGGTCGCCGTCCGCGGCGCCATGACGCGACCGGTGGTCTCAGGACCGAAGGATGGCGTGCTGCGAAGAAGACGTGTACGGAGTGTTTTTACGTCACGCGGGAAGCAGAGCAACATGGCTATTTTGGAGCATAGTTCGAGCCTGGGCCAGCTGTTACAGGCGTGCGAACTGGAGAGAGGGGCTTTTCTGCTGTTTTTGAAAAAAATAGTGTATACTTTTCGAAAAAAAAAAAACACAGTGTACATCAACAAGTATACCGTTCGGGAAGGGCCTATGCCGTATTTAACCTCATAATGCCAACACATTCACTTTCAAAAAGTTCATTCTCCGCATACTACAATGCCTGAAGTTTGTCATGAATATATTATTATTATTATTATTATTATTATTATTATTATTATTATTATTATTATTATTATTATTATTATTATTATTATTATTATTATTATTATTATTATTATTATTATTATTATTATTATTATTATTATTATTATTAGAGACATTCTGTACTCGGGAACTGACGGATGACTCAAGGAGTAGTATCTTCAAAGAGTAACGCCGCTGAGACCGCAACGGATTGGCCAATTCGAATGCAATCCAAACATGATGTCTAGGTCGTCGTCATCGATGCTATATATACAGAGATAGTGCTATCTTTTTTTTTAATGCGACGCACTTCTTTGCGTATTGCGTACACGTCTAGCGTTTGTATATATACGCATTTATCTATCTGCTTGCCTACGTCTGGTTGCTTTCGTGATCACCTCCTTAACTTGAGGTAGACCAAAATTAGAATCGGAAGGAAAGAGGGTTGGAGGATTCCGACTGTTGGGTCATGGATAAGGGGAAAATCTCGCCTTGTGTACGACGTCAAACCCTTTGCCCTAGACATGTTTCGCACATACCCACATACCACGGGTCACGGTTATGCGCCACATTTCTTTGAGAGAAACGGCTAGAAGAGATATTGGTAATTCAAATGCGAGCTTCAAAGAACAGCTCACATTGGCAGCCTTGACCCGATTAATGCAAAAAATAAATGTCATGTTTTAGCAGGAATGGAACCCAAGCATTATGCGTGGAAATCAAGTATTCTACCACAGAGCCATGCCAGGTCGCAGACCTGCTTTTGGAAAAGCACCATATGCAGGCGTAATGCTGGTGAAACGTCGATTGGGGTTGCAGCGGTGGCTATCCACTTTTATAAACGTCGCACGTGCACTCCTATGCCACGGCCATCACGTCGGGTTAACGTGAATTGTAGTTAAGCGCAATCCACTGAAATCAATTTATATACCAGTGTCCAGGTCTGCCACCCTCACGAGCACAAGCTTTAAATATCAGCCTGACACCTCTGTTGTTACTGATATCCATGTTGCTGTTGGCATCGTTACGCTGCTGTAAACATGATGTTATATAAAACATATTCGACTGTTCAACATACGTCTGTGTGTACAACATTGGTACATATCTCTACACTTCGTTAATTATGCTAAAAAAGTGCAACACGCCACCTCATTGGTAATCTATGCATGCTTCGCATAACATTGACTCGCAGGGTACGTTGCATCTGTCGCGTTTCTCAGGTGTGCATATATACACCTATATACGCAAGCAAAGTTGAAAATTTTTGAAGGCGGGAGTCGAACCAACTCCGCCCTAGCATCCATCACCACGTCTTCGAGTCCTTGCACCGGCTGTCTCATCAACGAATCGAAGCCACCCAAAGACTGGTGACGGCAAGGTTTGTCTGGCCATGTAATATTTGGGACGTCCGACACTAGACATGTGAATGTGTAGGTTGCCAAGATACAATGCCACACGTCGACAGCATTGGGAACACCTCCGACGCCGTATTCTCGCTTTGACCATGTTCACCTGGATGTCGGCGGTCCACTGCCCTCTTGCCATTACGGACAGACTTCCCTGCTGACCTGAGATATCTTTAAATTTCCCGCCACCCTACTTATAATGCAACACACTGCAAGTTGTTGCATTATGCAAGTTTTTGCATTACTTATTTTTAAAGACTTTGTTATTGACTATTAGTATATTTATTTCCTAGTTATTCTTTTTTGTGCGTAATAATTACGCAATATGAGTGCTCTGTTGGCCTAAATATGACAAAGAACGCTGAGGGTGACATCTGCGAACAGGCGCTTGCCAGCGCCGCACCGCTCAGAGGTTACGGCCCTAGCGGCAGAAAGTACAAACTAGACATGGGCGCTTCAGATGGGCTCTCTGGACAGGTCGGGAGTAGGTCGTGACCACAAAGATCCCTCTTGCGAGCTAGAAATTCCCCTGGTTGAATGGATTTTCTGCTATGCATGTTAAAAACAAGCCGAAAATTTCGATGCTCTTAACAGCACCGATAAGACCAAGGTTTTGTGTGACGTCACATCCTGCTTTGTTGAAGCAAACTGCGTAGTGGGGTCAACTGAGGCATATCGCATCTTTGTTTCCCGCCACGGTACCCATAATGCAGCGCACTGTAAGTGGTTGGCTTCTCCCCAATACAGACCGTGGGAAAATTTTTTTGCCTGTTTTTGACACCTTTCGTCGAAAAATGAACAAGACAGCGTTGTGCAGTTTGAATTTCCCGCTTTCAAGCCCAATTTACGGAGATTCACACAGTGAAATAATCAATATAAGGACCCTGTAGAGGTGTGTTTAGTTAAAGGTACTGTACTGATAATTGCGTTGTGTAACGGCGACTAGGCCGTTATCTTGCTACTTGTATATTATTTGCGTGAGCTTGCTCTACATATGCCTCAATCCGGCACCAGCCGGAGGTCGTTTTATGAGGGGTATATATAGCGGATCGAATGTATGTCCTTTTTATCACTTTTGACTTTGCGCTAAAAAAAGTGACAAAATTGAATTTGGCAGAGAACATATGAATAAAAAGATAATACTTGCTTTCGGCTATATATAGCCCTGCCTAACGGACCTTCAAGCGGTGCCGGTATAACATTCGGGAACTCCCCCTTTTAAGCAGTAAGCACACAAGATGTGCGTCAATCGTCTCGGCCTAGCTCATTTATGCGATAATGAGCGTAAACCTTTAAGCAAACGAACCTCTATTTGCCCCGTTTCCTGGTGTTTTTGGCAAAGTGTGTGCACCAAAGTGCTCTATCGTTGCCATTTACACGACCTACTATACTTCTCACCTGCCCAGATGGCGGGGTTCCTGTGGGAGCGAGTATCCCGCTTTCGTTTAAACACTCACCGTTGATGGCGCTACCTATAACCTGTTCGTCTGCTACACTACGGTGGTTTGGACGTCATTAGAGTAAGAACTATTGCATGCTGTGCTGAACTGCCAGCATATATGTGACTATTTGTTCCCCTGAATGACCAGTCAAGTAAGCAGTTCTATGTGGTTAATTATTTATTGCACAGTAGTTGACAAACGTGTGAACCAGTAGGCTTACATAATGTTGGACTGCCTATGTGATGTCGCCTCCACTTATTTTTAAAGACTTTGTTAGTGACTTTTAGTATATTTATTTCCTAACTATTCTTTATTTGTGCGTAATAATTACGCAATGTGAGTGCTCTGTTGGCCGAAATATGACAAAGAACGCTGACGGTGACGTCTGCGAACAGGCGCTTACCAGCGCCGCGCCACTCGGAGGCTACTGCCCTAGCGGCAGAAGGTACAAACTAGACATGGGCGCTGCAGATGGGCTTTCTGGACAGGTCGTGAGTAGGTCGTGGCCACAAAGATCCCTCTTGCGAGCTACAAATTTATTCCCCTGGCTGAATGGCTTTTCTGCAATGCACGTTAAAACAAGTCGAAAATTTTGATTCTCTTAACAGCACCGATAAGACCAAGGTTTTGTGTTACGTCACATCCTGCGTTGATGAAGCCAACTGCGTAGTGGGGTCAACTGAGGCTAACGCATCCTTAAGTTTCCCGCCACGGTACCCATAACGCAGCACACTGTAAGTGGTTGGCTTCTCCCCAATACAGACCGTGGGAAAATTTTTTTGCCCGTTTCTGACACCTTTCGTCGAAAAATGAACAAGACAGCGTTGTGCAGTTTGAATTTCCCGCTTTCAAGCCCAATCTACGGAGATTCACAAAGTGAAATAATCAATATAAGGACCCTGTAGAGGTGTGTTTAATTAAAGGTACTGTGCTGATAATTGCGTTGTGTAACGGCGACTAGGCCGTTATTATGCTACTTGTATATTCTTTGCGTGAGCTTGCTCTACATATGCTTCAACCCGGCACCAGCCGGAGGTCGCTTCTGGGTTATATATAGCCGATCGCGAGTGTATACCTTTTATCACCTTTCACTTTAAACTTTAAAACGTGCTAAAAACGCGTTAGGCTTAGCGTCAGAGTTCGAAGCAATGAAAAGATAATACTTGCTTCCGGCTATATATACCCCGGCTTAAGCGACCTCCAAGCGGCCCCGGTTGCGTCAGTCGCGGACGCACGCTTTACGCAGTAAGGACACAAGGTTTACCTCAACGGTTTCGACGTGGCTCATCTATACGATAACGAGCGTAGTATTTTAATTCAAACAAACCTCTATATCTCCCGTTTACTGGTGTTTCCGGCAATATGAGCCCACCAATGTTCGTGATCGTTTCCATAAATACGCCTTACTTGTACTCCTGGCCTGTCCAGATGGCGGTGCTCCTATGGGAGCGAGTGTCTCCACTTTCGTTCCACCGTGCACCGTTGGTGGCGCTAGGTAGGGCCGCCGAAGTGGCAGGTTGGATCAATGGAAGGGCCCGCGGAAACCTTTAGATCAGGTGGCGAGTAGGGCCACCTAGCCATAATGTTAAGTACTATCACTATGATGGCTATGGCCGTTGGTGGCTATAGGTGGCGCCACAACGGTGAGTAGAAATCAAATGGAAAGACGTGATGGTCTTATCAGTCCCGATAAGCCCAATCTTTTGTCTTAGGGCACACCACGCGTTGATGGAGCTAACTGCGTACTTGGTTGCGCTTCTTGGTGCGATACGTACCGAATAAATTCAAGGGTTTTTTTCTTTTTAAATTTCGCGCCACCGCACCCATAATGCATCACAATGCAAGC